GCGGCGCCGCCCCGCCCCCTGCTCTGCATATTCACCCCAGGCCCCGCCCCCGCCAGCTGGAGGAAGCCGAGTAGGAAGTGGGTTGCGATGTCCTTTTGTGTCCTACAGCCGGAGCGAGGAGCGAGCGCGCAGCCCCAGCCTATGGCTCGGCCGGTCCCCGGCGCGCGGGGCCACTGAGCCGCCCCCCGGCCGGACGCGCCAGCCAGCCGCCGCCCCGAGCCCTTGTCTGCGCCCAAGGTCAGTCGCCGCGCTCGCTGGGTGGGGGCGCCGGGATCGCCCTCCCCCCGCGCCCCAACCTGGCTCCATGTGACTGGTGCCGGAGGAGAAGGTGGGGAGGACCGCGCTGCGGGAAAGTGCAGCCCATCGGGGGGCGAGGGGGCTGGGTGGCCCGCGGGGGGCCGGCGCTGGAGGCGGGGGGCCAGGGGATGCCCCCGCGGGGGCCGAACATGCGGGGGGCGGCCTGAGGCAGACGCATTGGCGCCCCCAAGTGCGCCAGGACTCTCCGGCAAAGAGAGGCAGGCAGGCAGGCAGGCAGGCGTACGCGCAGCCCCTTGCCAGACTTGGGGCTGCCGGGGTCGTGTGCGTCCGTGTACACGAATCGTGGGAAAAATACGTAGGCAGCGGGAAGAGGCGCAGATGCGCTCGTGTGGATGTTCTCTCGTGTCCCGTCGGCGGCGCTCCTGTTCGTGCGGCAGGGGGCGCGGGCGTTTGCACAGGCATCCAGCGGCTTGCTCGTAGGCGCACGCTGGCCGGGTTTGGCCAGAGGCAGGCGCGAGATTACGGTCGTGCCGTGCCAGGTGGGACCCCCGTGCCTGCATGGAGGGGGTGGGCGCCCGGGACCGCTTGAGGTGGGTGTGCGAGGTCAGACCTGGGAGGAGAGGCAGAGCGCGTCTGTGCCTGTGCGCATGGGCTCCTCTGGCCAGGCCAGGGGAGGAGGGCTGAGCCTTTGCACGGGCGCCGCGTGCCTGCCTTTAGGTTGCTAGGATCAGTGGACGTCTCCTCAGCTGCACAGCAGGAAGCAGGTTCCTGTGCATGGGCAGAAAACTCCAGTGCGCCAGGGTGAAGGCATGGAAGACGAGTGCCCCTTGCCTCCGCTGAGTCGACCCCACTGCCGGGCCACTGGGGGGTGCTGTGGCCTGCAGGGCCCCGGGGCAGTTGCCCAGAGCATGCAAGGTGGGGTCAAAGGTCACCAGCGCTGCAAGAGAGGCCATGGTGGAGCTCAGCTTAGAGCACCATCACACACCGGGGAAGCGAGCGGAGAAGAGTGTAGACGAGTGCATGGCAGATCCTGACGGCTGCCATGAGTCACTTCTTAGTGTGTGTGTGTGTGTGTGTGTGTGTGTGCAGTGCTCTTTTCCCTTCCAGCCAAGAATAGACGAAGGTGTCACTATTAGACAAACACACACTTTTCCAGGCCAATTTTGTTTTTATTTTATTCATTTATTTAGAAAATTTCTATGCCGCCCCATTTGCCGAAGCCTCGGGGTGGCTCACAGAACATTAAAATATAATACATTAAAAACATAAAACGAATTACAATATACAATTTTGTTACCAAGGGATGCATGATGGAGTGGGAAGACCCTGAACAGGGTTGCCCAGGCCCCCTGTCTGTCCGTTGCCCCCCCCTTGCGTAAGCTCTATTTTCATTCCCGATTGTGTAAAGGATGAAGCACCTTTGTAAAAGGGGGCAAAGGTTCTCCAACTGCTGTAGCAAAAGTGGAGAAGAGAAGTTCATGGGACTTCCTGTAGGACAAGATGCAATGCAAGAACTTCAGGCGCCTCGTTGTAGGATATTATCTCTGGCCCGGGGCTTTTCTGGTGCGCTCTGGTCACGCACCAAACTTGTTATTGCCAAGTAACTAATCACAGGTATTTAAGAAACATTATGAGTAGTATCCTCAAATCCTGGAATCAGCACCCACACCAGGGAACAAGTCATTCCAACAGGGCATGATTTATGTTAAATGGTTCTCTGTGATGGCTTTTTACACCTTCCCCAAATTCTAAGAGAGATACCAAGAATCCACTCATACTAGTACAGCCCGGATAAGTATGGGGAAAGCTTCAATCAGTGGACTGTAGTCTATAAATCAGAAGTGTGTTTGTGCAGGAGAAGGCAATTCACAGTGGGGTGTGCATTATCTCTGTTGCGTCGTAGTGGCAGGGAAGAGACGTCGGGTGGCAGTTGGCCGAGCCAGGAGGCTGCTCCTGCGGCTGCTGACATTTAGCTTGCAATGTCCCAGGTTGTTGCCACACTCGGAGCAGGCAGGAGTGCGGCGATGGGTCGGGAGGTGGCGAGGGTGTGCTGCATGCAGTGCCACCGGGGCGCCTGATTGTATCTCCCTGGAGTGACCTTGAAGCTGTTCTGGGCCCATGGCTGGTTGCTGGAGCCTGAGCCGGCAGCTGGGGATGGGGCGTTGGGGGTCATGCCTAGGGGGAGGGGAGCACCTAGCTCGCGTGGGAGAATGCCTCACAAGGGGGATGTTGTCCCCTTCAGAAGAGAGATGCCAAACATGTTAGGTTTTGGAGGGAGTTTGTAGAAACATCTGTCTGTGGGAAGAAGGCTGTGACCCCAAAGCGCCTTGTATTGACCCCCAGATACGGAGTGAGCCGTAGAGGCAGGGAGAGTACACCCCTGCCTCCCAGGATGCAATGGGGCACCACAGCCCAGATGGGCCCATTGGGACTGAGGCCCAGCTCCGCCATTGCATGGCTTTGCCATTGGGATGCTCACCCAGTGTGGCCAGGCGACCTGGAGAGGCAGCCTCTGCCCCCTCAGCCCAGACTGGCAAACATGGTGGGACTGTTGCTTTCCCATGGCCAGCCCCAGCCCCCGACAGATTCTCAGGGACATCCTTCCCTTGGTCGGTTAAAGTGCCCTTGAAAACTCACACTGATTTCAGATGGGCTGGTGGATTTGTGGAACACACAAAGCAACCCCCAACTGACTGGGCAGGATTTGGGGTCACCTGAGTGTCCGCTCTTTAGAAGCACCCCAATCCTGTTCTTGGTTGCAGTCCTTGGGTCCTTTTCAGCAAGAAATGGATCAACGTTGTTTTTTTCCCAAAACACATCTTTAATTTTCACCATTAACTTTATGAGACTGCAGAAGCTGTAGCTGTGGTTTTCCTCTTCTTTCTCTTTTAATCATGAATATAAGCAACCAGATAGTTTTTTTAAGATGTAGCTTTTTTAAAGGCAGCTAATGTCCGCCATTCAGGATGGACCAATGGCTTTTTATTAGTTTGAGCTATGCCAGTGTTTTGTTTCTGAGGACACCACACACACACACACACACACACACACACAACTGGACACCTTCAGGTAAATGAAACTTAGTGGATCCAAGTTTGCCCTCTTCGTCATGGCTACCGCAGGCTTGGCAGGCAGACATTCCAAGAGCAAGTTGGCCTCTCTCTTTTGCATTGGCAAAAGGGCCCCTTTGCATGTGCTCGACCATCCTGCCCTTGGGCTTTCACCCTCAGCCCAAGAGAGGTTCCCTGCTCAGGTCCCTTCATCCCAAGGCAGCCTTTGGCCCAGGATGCTTTTGTAATCACTGCTCCTCAACAGTGATCACAGCGCCCAGTGCCAGGTTTTACCTTTTGTCCCGTCTCGCTTCCCCTTCCCGCAGCTCCTTCCAGCCATGTCGTCCCGGGAACGCCGAGCAGAGTTCTTCATCAAGACAGAGCCGGCGTCCCCAGACAGCCTCGCGCAGCACAGCCCAAGCGGGTCTTCCGACACCAGTGCCAGCGGAGCTCCTCAAGAGCTTGAGGCTGCAGGGGCCCTGCCCGCCGGGACAGGGGCGTCCCGGCGCCGGCACGACGATGACCCGGACGAGCCTCCAGGGCGCGGGAAGTACATGCTGAGCTCCATGCCCAAGCGACTGTGCCTCGTGTGTGGCGATGTGGCCTCGGGGTACCACTACGGCGTGGCATCCTGCGAAGCCTGCAAGGCCTTCTTCAAGCGAACCATCCAAGGTACGCCCCCCCCCACCTTCACCACAAGTGATGTCCATGCGTCCCTCCCCCAAAGGCGTTGACGCAAAAGAAGAGCCCCTCTGGACTGGATCGAGAGGGCATCTGATCGGTCATCTTGTGTTTTGAAAACAACCAAACATCCATCTCAGGGAAGCTCACGTTCCCGGTAGTTCAGCTTCATTAGGATGCTGCCTCTGCAGCCAGACGGGTTGGGGATGCACTGAAGTATTAGAGAGTACAGATCAACAGAGCTGTTCCCATGGGGCCACCCTGTCCCCTTCAGGCATGTCCTAGACCCTTTTCCTAAACATTTGGTTTCCACTCCTTCTGCTTTCGGTGCTGTTACCTAAGATGAGGAACCTAAGGCCTATGGGCCTGATGTGGCCACAATACAGGGTTGTCCGTATGCCCTTTTCCTGCCTCTTGGTGACCTTCTACTCCCTCTGCCGTTCTCAAAAGTCAAAATGCCGCTCCTCAGGCTGAATCGCTGGCGGTCCATGCTTAAAGCTGGCATGTTTAGTATCTTGGGAGCCTCACCGAACCCAGGATTGTACCCCCGGAGGGCTTTTTCCAAAGTGAATTCAGCCCACTGCTTGAAAGATGGTGCCCACCTCTGATATGCAAAAGGGTGCAGGAAACATTTTACATTGGTAGTCGCCAGGAAGAAATACAATTTTATATCTTTGGGGCACATCTCGACAGAAAAGCAGCCTTCTATGCCCAACATGCTGCAGGCAGACTGACTGAGGCATGCTGGGAGTTGCAGGCCTGTTTTCTGTCCAAACATGTGTAAGATAGCGTTTTTAAGGGTGTAAACTTGTGCGTGTTTAGACAGAAGATGACAGGAAGATGCTACAGATTCAAGGTTTTCCCCCCCCCCATCTAAACATACATAGATTTCACCTTAGAGAATTCAGGCTCCTTGGGCTGAGGTTCAGGGTGTTCTGCCAAGATCCTCCACTTCTTTAACCTGCCCCCCACTGCTGAACATCCTGGCCACAAAATGTCCAACTATGGATAAAAAGGACACCAGAGGTTTCTTCCTCTACAAATTTATCTTCTTGTTGAGGGGAGAAAAAGGCAAGCAAAAGCTATTTCAGCCAAAGCGGTCTTGCCTCATCTTGCAGCAGGGGAATTCCATAAGTTAATTATGTGTTATGCAAAGCGGTACTTCCTTAAATTGTGTCAATCCTGGACCCCACAGCCTGTCTGCTTCCATAGGGCTGAATCAGGGCTCCTGCGGTATAAGCATAAAACGATCCATTTTGTCCATTTCCTGTTCCCAGCAGTAGCCAGCCAGGAGGCCTGTTTGTTTGTTTATTAGATTTATCTCCCACCTTTTTTCTTTTTTTAAAGAACTCAAAGTGCCTTATATCATTCTCCTCCTCCTGTTCTCAGGCACTGTGAGGCAGGTTGGGCTGAGAGTCCGTGGCTGACCCAAAGTCTCCCAGTTGGCTGAGTGGCTACTAGAACCCAGGTCGCCCGAGTCCCAGTCCCACGGTCTTAGCCATTACGCCACACCGTAAACCTGCCGTCATGATGATGAGCGCTTTCTCCCTTGCTGTCTTCCTCCACGTGAAGCAGTAATTAAAAGAGATCAAATCCATCCCTCCAGGCATTCCTAGAAGGCCACATCTCTTCCTTGTGCGGCCCAAACGCCAGTCAGCCAGTATCAGTCGCTGGCAGCCTTTGACAGCCTTTTCTTCCAGTGAGTTTGCCTGATCCATTTTCAAAGCCATGCCAGTTGTTGGCCAGCAGCAAGTTTACCAAGATCGCCGTTTAACTATGCACTTGCAAAGAAGCCCTTCCTTTTGTCTCTCGAGGGTCTCCCACTGTTTCACTGGAGGACCCAAGATTTAGCAGAATGAGAGCAAGAGAGAAATGTCATCCTATTCAGATTCTGCGCACCATACATACTTTATTAGCTTCAGCCATGTTCCCTTGGACTTGCCTTTTCTCGAAGTTAAAAGGCTCCAGATGTGGTGACTCACCCCTGTGGGAATTGCTCCCGTCCCTTGACGTTTTGTTGCCCTTCGCCATCTCCAGCTCAGCCATATCTTTTTTTGAGGAGTAGCAACCCAAACTGTCCATGGTATTCCTATAAGGCAGCATTGGACAACGCCTGGCCTTCCAATGTGGGAATACTCGGTCGAGTAAGAGTAATACAAAATGGTAACAAGGTTTTCTCTCTCTCTCTCCCTCTCCCTCTCGTATTTTTGTGATGCACAAGTGCATCTTTTGCTCTTTTACATATCCCCCCATTGTTTAGGCCTACAGCTCCCATGATCCCTCACTGCAGCTCCCAGGAAACATCTGGAGTGTCACAAGTTGCCCAGCCTTGGTCTAAAATCATTCTGGCATCAGCGGCTTTATTTCTGATTCCTTTTCAAATGGCCCCCTATGCAGAATTCACCTTTTTCAGTACGAAAAAAGTAGCCTACTTTTAGTATTTTTACTGAGTTGTACACTGCAACCCAAGATCTATTTTTCGGTCAGCCATCACCCGCTTGGAACTCGCAGCAGTGTGTACATGAAGCTGGACGTTTGTCATTCCCCAGAGTGCATGAAGATGTATAGTAAATGTTGGTCTGTTGTGAAATAGAACAGAACAAAAGGAAAGGAAATCGCAGAAAGAAAACTGTGAAGTGTTCAGGGGCTTTAAAGTGTTCCTGGACTCTTGGTTTGTTAGCAGCGGGCTAACACAGATCCCTCTCTCTAGACCTTGTAGCCCTTTCTCTCTTTCGTTATCTCTGTCTCTCCTTCTCTTAGGCAGCATCGAGTACAGTTGTCCAGCCACCAACGAATGTGAAATCACCAAGAGGCGCCGGAAAGCTTGCCAGGCGTGTCGTTTCACCAAGTGCCTGCGCGTGGGCATGCTCAAGGAAGGTCTGACTACGGGGGTGGGCTAGATATCAAATAATAAATAAAAATAAATGTGGTTTGGGGCACAGACATTGAACATCGGGCCGGCCGGACAAACGGGGTCCACCCAAGTTAGTTCGTCCAGTATTGCCTTTCCAAGGCCCTTCATCTTTTCCCCAACTTGGGAGTTTCCCTGCTTTTGCGTAGCTTTTCCCCATCCTAAAAAGTTGAGACGAAGGCCCCTCGACTGGCAGGCTGAGTTTTAGGCTGAAAAATGCTGGTGTGTTTGGTTTTTTTGGCCCCTGTCCTTTTGCGCTCAACCTCACGCACCACTGGAATGCATCCCACGAGACCTTGAATTTAATCCTTGGACTGAAAGAGCTTTGGCACCCCTAAACTTCCCGAGGGGAGACCGGGATGGAGGTCAGGGGAGGTGTACAGAAGGATGCGAAAAGAGCCGCAGTTCTCTGGCAGAAACCTGCTTCGCACATGGAAAAGGCTCAAGTTTGATTCTCAGCCTTTCCAGGCAGGGCTAGGGAAGAACCCCCCTCTGAGAGGTGCTGCCAGTCAGGGCAAAGAATACTGGGCCAGATGGACCCAGATCTGACTTGGTATTTAAAAATAGGGTGGCTATGGAAGAAAGGGGAGGGAGGGTGAAGGAAGAGCAGGAAGAGATTAAAAACGGCTTTGCACTCAAAGCAGCCTGCGCAGGACGCTTCTCGATACCGGTTCGGATGGCATCATCCACCCGTTTCAGTGCTCTGCCAAGCAAGGACTTCTGGCTAAGCGTGTTTTGGGTAGTAAGGACTTCTGGGTAAGAGTGGCCAAAGCTAAGGCTGGTCAGTTGAAGTTTGGAAAACGTGTGGAATGGTCGTGCCTATTTGTTTCTCCTCTTCTAACGCCTCTCTCTCTCTTCCTTGCCCCCATCCTGGCCACCAATTCTTCAGGGGTACGTCTAGACCGGGTACGAGGGGGCCGCCAAAAGTACAAGCGCCGGCCTGAGGTGGAGGGCGCCACCTACCCCAGCGCCTTCGTCACCCCGCAGATCGCCACGGCGACTGCCAAGAAACAAGGTGAGTGGCGATGAAGGCACGGGGCGCCTCCAGATCGCGGCGCTTCCTCCTCTTTGGGGGATCCGGAATTTGGGGCGCGACTCAAAATGGAACGTTTGCTGGGCTGCATTCTGCTGAATTCGGGAACCACCCGGGCCTCAGATGCCTGGGGTTATAAAGGAGAAAGAGGGCCTCACGCTCGTAAAGTTTGCCCAGTTGCGGCCGTGCTCCCTTGCCTCTCCCCTGGCCTCCAGGAGCCACTGTGGCTCTTCTGGCATCCCTGGGACACAGGAACGCTCACTGGCTTTGTCCCCCAGGAAGGAGGCAAACGGCCAGCCAGAGAGGGAGAATGAGAGAAGAGGCAGGAAAAGTTGCGCAGAATTTTCCCCCAGGATGCGGTTTCTTAAGTGAAGCATGCCCATCGCCATGGCAACTTGGGTGGCACAACCCCAACCGGCAGCAGAGAGTGTAGGCCAGGGGTATTTTTTGTGGTTACCTCTCCCTGTTCGGGAGAGGAAAGACACGGCACGGTTCAGATGCTCTGGTATATAGAGTAGATTCCCGGTACATGAGAAAGGAGCATCTTGGAGAGAAAGGCAGGCTAGCTTTCCACAAGTAGGGGGGTAGTTATTTCTCATTCGTGCTTCGTAATCTAAGCGAACCTCCAGCCATGTGATTCCAGCTCTCCGCTTTGCCACGCACCCACATGTATCAAGTGCTACGAGATGTGAGCCTCTCCTGTCATGTTTCTGCTTTTCTTCTCCGTCCCCCCACTGCCCTGCCCACAGCTCCAATGAACACCATGGTGTCGCATTTACTGGTGGCGGAACCCGAAAAACTCTACGCCATGCCTGATCCTGCACTTCCCGATGGCCCCGCCAAGGCGGCGAGCACTTTGTGCGATCTGGCCGACCGGGAGATCGTGGTTATCATTGGCTGGGCTAAAAACATCCCAGGTGAGAGAGGGGGTTGGCTAAGCTTGCGTGTGTTGTGTCGCTGCAGGTCGCAGCAGCTTCCAGTGGGTTTCGAACTCAGTCCAAGGTGCTGGAACAGGAGTGGGCACATGCAGGGCCTCCCGGGCTCCCGATCCGGCTCGTGAGGGTCTCCAGTAGGATTCCAGAGACCTCTGTCCCCCGACCACTATCCCTTTTGTGATTTGCTGGATTTTGTGCCTCTCATAAAAGCTTAACATGCCTCCCCTGAGGGCTAGTTCCTGGCGGAATAGCTTGAAGACGTAGCAGGCTAATCTGTGCTATTCTGGCCCTGTCCACAGCTGGACCGTAGCTCCCAAAGGGTTTCTCTGGAACTGAATTGGGCCTTTGGGCCGAAAGATGGTCAGAGCCCTAGTGCTGGGTCTTTGTGATAAAGCCTTACAGGGCAAGTGGCAACCGGGCTCCTAAGCCACTCTCTTTCCAGCGCTTTTTCTTTTGCTCGGCCTTCTGGAACCACTTAGAATTTGAGTGTCCACCTGACATTGGGAGCGACTCGTTTATTCTTTGATAGCACACGGTTGTGATGCCATCGTGTTCTTCATTTTGGCAACTGCCCTGGGACCTTAGTTAAATACGGGTAAGAATCAGACCTTTGGTGAAGTGGATCTGACTTGAGCATATTATGACCTCTTTTAACAGCAGCCTCTGTTGTTAGCCTCCCCCAATTTTTCAACAATACTGCCTTATGTTTTATCCCTTCCTTCCTTGGATCTGCAGGTGGCATTTCTCCCTCAACTGTATCCTTTCAGAAATTGCACAAAGAGGGTTGCCTGCACAAGCACACCCATTTTAGACATTTCTGGTTGCTTGGAGGCTATGCATGCTCACCCTAGGCGATTAGCAGCTGGTTTCCAAACCTGAATTAATCCCCCCTTCGACCTCTTTATTTCCTGTTCTCCGCTGCCTGGCGCAGGGTTCCCAGCACTGTCCTTGGCAGACCAGATGTCTGTGCTGCAGAGCGTGTGGCTGGAGGTTTTGCTGCTAGGGGTCGCCTGGCGCTCGCTGCCCTGCGAGGATGAGATTGTCTTTGCGGAGGACTTTGCCCTCGATGAGGAGGCAGCACGGACGGCCGGGCTGCTGGAGCTCAGCGGGGTTGTCCTGCAGTTGGTGCGCAAGTACCGGGCCCTGCGCCTGGAGCGCGAAGAGTACGTGCTTCTCAAGGCCTTGGCACTCGCCAACTCAGGTGAGTCTCCATTCTGGCTGTGTGGGGTCAGGGAGGGGAGAAGTCCCGAAAAGCAGAACACACGGGATAAAGAATTACTCAAGGACGTGAGCTCCCAGCTTCTCCAGACAGCTGCTAGCGTCGCAGCAGGATCCAGCCACCCTTCTAAAATTCTTGCAGTCTCCTGACATCCCCCATCTCAGCCTTTCCCGACCTGGTATCCTCTGGATGTGTGCCTGCTGGGAATTGCAGTCCCACTCATCTGCCGGACACCTGTTCGGGGAAGGCTGGTGTATCACTTCATGGGAAATTAAAGATGGCCAGGGGAGGGGGGTTCACTGACTCAAGAGGAGACCCACCTTGCAGAGGCCCTGCGCAAACATTGAACGGGCCCCACTTCACGATAGGAAGTTCACACCTGGGTCATGAAGGCCGCAGCCCTTTTCTGCTTCTCTCGCTGTTCAGTTGGTTCAGAGAGGTGTGCTGCTTCAGATCTCTGAACGTCAGGCAGCTGTCGCGGCAAATCAAATTCATCCTCCCTGGATTTGTTTAATCCCCCTTTAAAACCCTCTAGTGAGCTCCATAACTTACTAGGCATTGCGTGGTGTCACTTTCTGACTCCAACCCATCTCCTTCTTGAACAACCCCAAGTATTATGAAAGGGGGGAAAGAATTTAACTCTCCCCCACACTCCACATAAGTTTAGAAGGTTTGATCATGGTTGTTTCTCATCTCCTCTTGCAAATAAGAAAATCCCAAATGTTTTAGCCTTTTAGGTTTTCAGTTGAACACTTCTATTTGGAAAAAGACTCACTTAAAAAGCAGAAAGAGAGACTATTTTACTGATTATTACACTATTTCCTTTAAAAAAATCCACCTTGTTCTTAATCTGAAGCAGCTAATAGACTCCAGAAAGTATTAAAAATGAACATATTAAGCAAGCAATAGGTTGAAATTTTTTTATTTAAATAAAAACATATTAAGCAAGCAATAGGGGTGTTGTGAATCATTTTAGAAATTGAGCTGTGCAGCTAAGCATTGCTCCCTATTAAAAATATTCCTTTGCTTGGTGATTTTCATTTGGCTGCTTTTGATTTCCGGGGTTGGAGTCTTTAGGAGACCAGAGCTGCTCCTGTTCTGAGATTTTAGCTCTTTTACTTAGGGACTTCAAAACAAAACATGAGACGCAGGCATTCTGTCTTCACCTTGCAGCGTTCAAACCAAGGCACTGAGATTGACACGCCAGGTTAACATTCAGTTTCGTTTCCCTCCTTCACATGAACCAGGCCGCAGAGGCGAAGTGGGCATGATTTCAATCTTTTCCTTCCCTGTCCATTTTATTGGTGGCTTTCATTTTCTGAATATTTTCCTGACTTGAGTAAATGGGTGGACACGTGGCAAGTTTCCCTGGTGCGGATGGGCTGTTTCCTTTTCAAAGGCATTGCATTTAATCTTGCTTGACTGAAACTGACTGTTATGTTGAGCACATGGGGTTGGATCCAGGATGAAGGCCTTTGCTTGCAAAACATCCCTCTGCCTCCTTTTAGGGACCCTCCCCCCTTCTTTTCCACACATACCAAAGCTCACCTCATTTGAAAGGATTTCAAGGGACTGTCAGGGGAAAATCCGGACAATTGATTCAACTGGAATCTGAATCCAACCCATTGTTTTCTTTGCTTTCTCTGCTCTTCTGTATGGACTTAATGTTCTCCTTTCGGTCTACCTGCACCTCTAAACCTGTGGCGTATGGTCTTGCTTCTTGGGCGTCAGTTGGTCCTAACAAAATATATTACCCAGTCACCACTGTTTGCTCTTCCCAACCCAAGCCCAGCGGACAAACCTGGCTCCGCAGTTTCCCCATCCGTTATATGGCTACCAGAAGTGGTCTTTTCCTACCTCAGCCTACCCCACACTAAGCCCCAGATGTATGCCTCTGTCTGAAACCCAGAAAGCCATTGAGACCAATCCTTTGCTTGAAAAGCCGGTCTCAATCTTCCCTGTAAGGCGAGGCTCACCAGAGACTTCTGCATTGGTTGCTAGAGCTTGCTGTTACTTAAATTCAGGCGCCTTTTCAAAACGCCGTGATCTGTTGTTTATGCTGAAGTTTAATTACCGTTTTGGCATTTGCAGCTGAAGTTTATTCTCCTGTTGTCTTTTGTCTGGGCGATGGCATTTGCAGCCTTCAATTTGGTAAACAAACCGATGTTGAAGCGTGGTGCAGATATATCACAGCAAGTGGAATAAAAGCCAGGTTTCTGTGCTGTTTCGGTTTGCGCTTTAGAGCACCAGGAGTAGCTTCCGCAAGAGGGTCTTGCACGGTGGCAGGGTGGGGACTTTTGCTTTGGGTCCGTTCTGTCCCATTCAGGGACTCCTAAAGATCGCGTTGCTGCATTGTCGCATGTGTTTCCTTCTCTCCAGACTCCGTGCACATTGAAGACATGGCGGCTGTGCAGCGACTCCGGGATGTGCTGCACGAGGCCCTTCTGGAATACGAGGCATCGCGCCGCCCAGAGGAACCGCGCCGGGCCGGACGCCTCCTCCTCACGTTGCCCCTGCTGCGCCAGACGGCCACCCGCGTCCTCCACCACTTCTACAGCCTCAAACTGGAGGGCAAGGTGCCCATGCATAAGCTGTTCCTGGAGATGCTGGAGGCCATGATGGACTGAAAGCTTAGGCCAGGGGGCAGGATCCGGGGAGCTGGGGGAGCCCGGGCACGGCGGGGCACGGCGCAGATGATCAGGGGCGGGCGCGGCGCGGCAGACGGAGGCCTGGTTCCCTTCCCCCGGCACCCTCGCCGCTGCTCATCTGCGCAATGTTCCAGGCATTTCAGTGTACACAGCCGTAATAATTGCCCATTGCTTCGCACTGAGGCCGACATCAAGGAAACGCCCGCCAGGGATGCAGCGGAGAAGGGTTTCAACCCAGCCAGAGAGCCGAACCTTCCTGGGCATAAGGGTGGGACTGACGCATGGGGGGGGGGGAGGTGGAGAACGTTTCGACATTCACACGGAAGCCATACTTTTGATTTTAATTTATTAATTTGCGGAGGGGTATTAGCTACTGTAGCTCTAGCCTGGAAGCCATATTAGAATAGCGTGGCATGAAGGATTGGGCACTGGAGTGCGCGTGTGGGTTTGGGGACGGGGGCTGAGCCGCGTGTTCTCGCCACCCCCCCCGCCCCCGGTGTAGCTACCGACGGGCATGCGTGGAAGGCCTGGATGTCACACTTGCATCGAGCTGTTCTTCTTTGGACAGCCCCTTCCTCACCCCCAGAACCTACCTTCTGTTCATCCCTGGGCTGGGCCCAACCAAACGCACCTTAACCTGGGGCATAAGAGCAGCCTCATTGCTTTATGCCCCTCGGCATCATGAGGGAGACAGGAGGTGGGCAGAGGGACCCCAGCATTCCTTGGCCTGCCTTCTGTCCCTTCGCTTCTGAGTCTTTGTTGGGCATCTCTCAGGGGAAGGGCACTCTCCCCCCCCCGCAAGGCTGCCTCCCTCCCTCCCTCCCTCTGGGAATGTCGCATTATCACTTTTGAGCAATAAAATAAGATTGAGGGTGGGGCGAGTGTCTTACGTTGTGCTTTGCATGGAGCCTGCCTTAACTTCTGTGTGTGGCTGTTAATGGTGGAGGCAGCCCCTGCAGAAGGGAAAGGCAGGGCCTTTAGTGCTCCATCCGGCAAAGTCTCTTCACTTATTTCCCTCGTAGCAATAGTTAAAAAGGCAATTCTGCTTTTTTTCAGGTGTGATTTCCTCTCTCCTCCACCCCCCTCCCGAGACCCATCATACCAACACTATCTTCTGTCCAAAGCAATAAAAACAACACTTCTTCCCATTTCCCCCTCAATCCCCTTCCTAGTCGCTAAGCCAAGGAGGGAGGCTGCATGGCCTAAAGCTGAGAGCCGTGTACATAGCAATATATTTTATTGTATATTTGTTGCAGGAAAAAGATCTACCCCATTTCTGGCTCACTTCCCCCAGGGGCAGGGCTGCAGCCTCCTTTGCCCTCCTGGGGAAGGGGGAGGAAGGTGGCAGAAGAGTCGCTGGAGGTGGTTTTTTTTTCTTCTTTTTTGTATTAAATTATGTGTGTGTACATAATTATAAATACCTCTGATTTGTGTATAGGCGGCTACACATACACATTCATAGAGAGCTCTATTACCGAACAAATTATAAAAAGGCTGCCGCAGCCTAAACAAAACTGATGATGTCTGTTGTCTTCTTGTGTATCTGCTGTGATGCTGGAGAAAAACACACCAGGCAGAGGAGAAATGAGCTCCCCGTTTTGCCCAAGTAACTTTCCTCAGGCTGTGCCTCTGCTGGAAATTACGGCGGTTCAGGCCAAAACTCTTGGAGGGTGCCAGTTCAGGGAATATTGCTTCAAAAGATTTGGTGTGCTGGGAACATAACTCGTTCCCCACACCCCCCCCCCCATGTGTGTAACAGACATTTCAAGAGCTACTTCCCTGAGCTGGCAAAGCTGTTAGGATCCTTCCACACCCCCTTCTAATTTGAAACTTGGTAATTTCATGCAACCAGCCGCAAGCCAGAGCATCCTAGTAGTCACTGGGAGCACCATGAAAATGGCACTCTTTCCCATCTGATTCTTGAAGGTCAGGAGAGGAAATTAACCTCCAACTAAAGGCTAAGAAAGACTCCAGCGGTGAAGGGGCAGGATGTCGGGCTGCAGGAGCATGGCAGCAGAGGACTGTACCACCAGAGGCTGCAGGTAAGGAAAGCTTTTTTCCAAAGCTGCCCCGGATGAAAAGACACCATATATCATGCCAAACCTTAATGCACAAGGGAGACAGCAGTTAGCGCTAAAGCGGGGGGCAGGGAACCTGTGCCCACTCCTCAGATAATTGTCTCCAACCCCCACCAGCCCCAGCCAGTAGTCAAATACGGGTATTACAGTCGTCCAGCATCTGGGAAGCCAAGGGTTCCCTCCTTGTGATCTAGAATCTTTTATTCCTGCTGTGTTAGCTTTCAGCAAGCAAAGAGTTGGTGTTTCATTCAGTATAATGTTGAGAGCACTCCAAAACAGTGTGTTCTCCCTACAGAGTATATTCTTGCAGTCCATTATGTCAGCTCCAGGTTCTATGATAGAGGTGGGGAATTCCCTCATAAAATTCGGCTTCTTCAGGGCACATGCCAGCAAGAGGCAGGACCAAAGCCGGTACCGAGTGAGGCTACAGTCAAAAGCCATAGGTTGCCTCCCGTCTTATTTCCCAGCATGGTTAAACACACTGTGTCGTCTTGGGCAGTCTTGGTGAAAAGTTTAAAGGTTGAGAGGTGAAAGAGATCAACGCAGCAGATGGTGATGGCCTAGCAAACTCCTGCACATTTAAACCACTGCAGTTTCTTCTGCCTAAGAAAAGAGATTTATTTATGCCCATGCAGAAAACAACAACCTGGAACATGACCAGAGGGTCTCATTCCCCCAAAGAAAAGAAAATAGGGCTTTCCCTTCCACAGGAAGAGGTCACCCAAGCCTCGCTTCAACACAAAACCAGTTCATGTTTCTTCTTCGCTCAACAACATGTTGGGTATGCCCTTAGTTATGGGAAACTCGCGTCCAGTATCTGGGCATTTCAGGACACCTTCCACCACCTCCACCTGCAAAAGAAGAAACTTCAAATAAGCTGTGGGTAAACGGAGAGGCAGCCTGCTTTTGGGGTCGAAAACAGGCACGAGAGAGGAACACTATGGCATTAAAAAGAAAAGCAGCTTAAATTCTATTCCTAGAAAAGGCCAACTGCATCCTATTTGCCTGAAGAGAGATTCTGTTGGCCACAAGGTGAAAACCTGGACGAACAGGAGGGTCTCTTACCTCCATCAACACATGATGCACTTTCCGAAGAAAATTCTCATCATCCTTGTAGTCGGGGATGAGTTCTGAAGGCAAGTCCGATCGTTGGCCCAGCTGCAAAAGGGGTGTGCGAAAGGACAGGTTGGTTCGCTTTTGCAAAGGCGAGGGGTCAAAATCACTTAATCGGGATACTGGAAATTTTACCCCACTGATAAATTCTTGGTAGCATTTGGTTGCCCGGGAGTGGCAGAAGACGAGGCTGAGCTTGATCCGACTTCACAAAATCCTCCAGACTGCAGCGCTCCACATACTTTGCACTACAACTCCCATAGCCAGCGACCAGATGGCCATTCCGATAGGAGGTAAGGATCCTTCCTTTGCACTAGATTGAGTAGTTCTACAGTTTCACACTTCTATATTATCCCTGGATTTTCACTGGATTTTTTCCTACCTTAAGACCACATTCACTGTCTGGAAAGTGCCAATATCCTATCCTCCCTCACCTTTTTCTCCACCAAATAAACCTCTGATGCACCACGCCTTGGTATCTTTCCCCTTCCTCTGCTGGATCAAGCATCTACAGCTCTTAGCCTAATTTCAAGAGCTCTTGGCAAGCTGATAATCGGTTGAGACCTCTGGCAAGATCCTTCTCTCCTGCTGCCCCCAGCAGCCTGCTGGCAGCAGAGAAAGAAACAGAAAGGAGCAAGAAGGCATACAGATGGCATACAGACCCTGGTAGATTATTTTATTTATTACTGCATTTATTAATAAGAAGATTCTCCTGAAGGAATGAGGTCCACAACCAAAAATAAAAATTATGTCTCTGCACTGGATGTAGAAAAATTTCAACCAACTTATCCAGTCCACTCAATAAAAGTTGGCTTATTTCATGATTTACTAATTCTATTGATATCTCACCTTTTCTCCTGCAAGAAACCCTGGGTGCTTCAAACAATCCTCTTCACATTATCCTCAGTGCAATCTTGTTAGGGCTGAAGCCCAACGTCACCCAACAGACTGAGTGGTGATTTGAACCAAGCCTCTCTAATCCCAGCCCAACAATAACCACTGCACCACACTGCCTCTCCATTTAGCTTTAATTAAAGTGTTTCTATAGCATTTGATTAGCATAATGTTCTCAGATCAGTGTACCTTTCAGTGCAGATTCTTGAGTTGCTTATGGCAAAGTTAAGGAAATGCAAAGCACCACTAAAATGTCTAAACATACAAGGAAAATGTAGCCATCAGTTGCAGCTGAGCAAGAAGAAGCAGATTCATGGAGGATCTGACCAGTTAAGACAATGCAGACGCTCCAGTGACTGACGTAGATGCCTTTCAACACCAGTTGCTGGAGAGCGTAAGCAAGAAGTTGCCACTGGGCTCACGTCTTGCTTGCAAGGTCCCCGTAGCATCTGCTTTGCCACTGTGCAGGCTGAACGCTGAACTAGAGAGGCTGATCCAGCCAGGACAGGTAAATACAGACTCTGGAACTCACTTCCACAAGATGTAGTGCTGGCTACAATTTGGATGGCTTTAAAAGGAGACTGGAGAAATCAAGAGAGGAGTACTGGTCTTATTCAGCAAGGCCCTTCTGACGTTCCTAGGTTGCACTTTTCTTTTCCATTCTGCCCCCTAGCCCAACAACCGTGACTCACACTCTCAGCTGCTTCCACCAGAGCTCCCCATTCCAATTTGGGAATCATCCGGGCAATGAACTCTGGGTTGAAATCTACATTCTTCACCTTCACCTCTGTAGCCTGTTGGAAGAAAATGGAGGAAGAACAGAAACTTTAGACACCAACCATGATCCGCTCTTTCTTCCTCCTCCTTTCCCATGGGAGGGAGAGGGAAAGAGAATGTCAACTGAGGATCCCTTGATATCCCCTGCAACATGAAGTCCCGGGTTCAAGATTTAATTTTAGCCATATACTTACTAAGGACATGAACCAAGGCAAGTTGATACAGAAAAAAAGAGTCCTACATTCCCCAGCTAGCAAGAAGTCTTCCTGGTTTAATAGCTTCTTTTAAAACATTATTTAATCATTTTCTTTGGCAAGGATATCCTCCTGGATTTCCAGAACACAATTTGCTATTACCTACAGAAGAGAGTGGGTTTAATCTTCCAGTATCCAAGCTTATCTTTGGGCACATATTTTAGCTTCTGTTGCAGGCCAAAGTAGAAAGGCATGGATTTCAATTCTCCTTTGGGCTCTGCTTGAATTTCAACACCGTGAAACCTTGTGGAATAACCCTAGTTTTAAAATAGCTAGTAAATCTCCTTTTTGTGGGGGAGGGGTACAAGTGGGGACTCCCATAATATTACCAGTTTGGATCTACTTTTTTCTGCTGATGCCACTTTTTAAAATTTTGATGTTTTAAAAGCAGAGTTTGAGGTATCACAGAGTGCTTGTCAGCAGTTCATTCAAATATTTATTTCAACTTTTTGATCCTGATGCATTTTGAATTCTAAGAGTCTTTACACAGTTAACCTGTGGATTTCACTACCACAAGATGAAGACACCAGCTCTGAAAGACATAAAAGGCAAGAGAGAAATTCGGGCAGAATTAGGCTACTAGTCGAAATGGCTATAGACTACTTCCAGGATCAGATGCCAGTTACAACAGGAAAGGCTGCATAGGCTGCTAAAAAGCACTCTGATAAATCAACAGCAAGATGGAGTTATTGCTCTTGTGCCCTGCTTTTGGGCATCGCAGAGGCATTTGGGTGACCACCGTGGGAAGCCGGGATGCAGAACTGGGCAAGCTGGTGGTCTGCTCTGGAAGGGCCTCATGTTACTGAATCTTGGGAAGACCCAGTTATGAAATGCACTGGGTGACCCTACGGCCAGCCATAATTTCTGAACATAACCTCCCTTGCAGGTTTGTTGTGAGGATACAAAGGGGTGGGGGGAACCAAGCATATGGCACTCAAAGATCTAATGATGTGGGAAAGAGAGCCAGTATGGAGCAGTGGTTAAGAGCATGGAACTGGGACTGGGGCAATCTGGGTTCCAATCCTGCTTGGCCATGGAGCCAACTGGGTGGCTTTGAGCCAGTCACTCTTAGCCCAACCTACCGCACAGGGCTGTTGTTGCGGGGCTAAGATTGAGCAGGAGTTGATGTAAGCTGCTTTGTAAGGAAAGGTAAAGGTTTCCCCTTGACATTAAGTCCAGTCATGCCTGACTCTAACAGGCGGTGCTCCTCTCCGTTTCCTAGCCGAGGGAGCCAGCGCTGGTCTGCAGACAGTCTCGGTGGTCGTGTGGCCGGCATGACTAAACACCGAAGTGCACGGAACGCTGCTACCTGCCCACCGAAGTGGTACCTTTCCACCTACTTGCATCTGCATGCTTCCGAACTGCAAGGTTGGCACGATCGTAAGGAAAAGCAGGCTATAAATCATCACGGTCTACCCGCAGGGTGGCTGCTGACCCGGGCAGAGCAAGCACCTTACCGATGCTATTTCTCGACCCCCAAAATTACGGGGCATCTCTAAGAAAGACTCTGGCCGAGGAGGAGGGTGAAGCGTGGCCGCTGCTTGAAATCTTTACACCTCCTCCTCTATACTGCAGATCTGGAAACCCCCCTCACCTGGATCCGAAGAGGAAATCCTCCCCCGGCGCGCACTCCCCGCACGTGAGAAGTGAGCATGTTGTGGGTCAGCAGCTTCATGTCTCCAGAGCGAGAGAGGCGCGTGTGCGCATGCCCGTGTGATCAGAAGCACTTCCGGTTTTGCTCAACGGTAAGTGGCGTTGCCCGCCCGCTTCCGGCGGCCGTGTGCTGCGTCCTTTCCGCGCCTGGGAAACGCGACCCGCGCGTACGATTGTTCCGGATGGTGAGTTTTGTTGTTGTTTTTAAGTTGCGGACCACGTGCGGTTGGCTGTTTTCTTGTTTGCTTGCCAAGGTCGTTTGCAAGCCATGTGGAAATGGATTTAGTGCTAGGAGTCTGCAAAGGGTGAAGTCAATAGGAAATAGGAAAGCTTGTTGAAAATCACACATTAGGCTCCGCAAATCAAAGCAAATCTTTGCGAATAGATTTCCTCTGCGGTCAGTTTCAAGGCAAATTAACGTAACATTATCCTGCAAAGAGGATAATTACTTTTCTCAGAAGTAAATCCCGCGAAGTACAGTAGATTTACAAGGAAATACGCAGTGTTGTCAACCGAGCTTCGCCTCGCGGAGAGTTTAGAAATTTAAAACATAATTCATAAAATGAATATTTGCATCTGATCTCAGCCTTGCAACTATTGAACGTATGTTTACTTGAATGTAAACCCCACTGAGTCCAAGATTAAATTTGTGTAAGTCAAATGGCAACCCGTCCTTGGAAGTAAACCCCAGTGAAAGCAGTGGATCTTTCTAAAAAAAACCCAAAACACCCACAAAGTGGGACTGGACGCAGCAGGTTTACCGAAGTCAATGAGGCTTACTTCCAAGAAGACTAGTGTTATTCGCCTGACGCTGTGCGCATTTACTCAGACACTTATAGCATTGCATCTCGGCTTTACCGGGGAGTCAGCTCTCACTGATTTCAGCGGCACTTGTTTATTTATTTAGAAAATTCCTAGGCCGCCCCATTCGCCGAAGCCTCAGGGCGGCTTACAAATAAATAAATTAAAATACATAAATAACAATATAAAATACACATAACTATATAAAATAAGTCGCCCTGGCCAAAAAACTTTAAAAATAACATTAACAATTAAAATGACGTTTGAATAAAAAGGTCTTGGCCCGACAGCGAAAAACAAATGACGGCGCCAGGCAGACCTCTCTGGGGAGTGTATTCCAAAGATTGGGCGCCACCGCAGAGAAGGCCCTCCTCCAAGTACCCACCCTCCTAATTTCCTTCACGGAGGGTTCCCGGAGAAGGGCCTCTCCCGCTGATCTCAGGGGGCGGGCGGGCATACATTTACTGGTAAGCATACATAAAGTTTCATTTCCCTCTCATTTTAATTTCCCCAAAAATCCACACCCTGCGCTGCAACGAGGTGGGCTGCCCACCCATGCACGCTGTCGTGCGAGTAAGTCCCGTCGGAAGCAGGGAGGCCTCCTTCCGAGTAAATACGCTTTGAGAGGATTGAGTCCGGGGCCGTAAATAGCATGCAAATGAGATGCAGATTTCCCACCCGCGCACCCACCCAGCCACCCTTGCGGTGGGGAGCCGGAGAACGCGCCAAGGGCGCTCCGCGCTTGCACAACTTCAGGCGGCGGGGGGACGTCGGAGGCCGCGGGTTGCCATGGCAGCCGTCACTCAAGCGATTTCCATGGCAACGGGGTGGAGAGGGGCGGGGGCGCTGCGCCTGCTGCGCCGCGGGGGACCGAGCCCAGGTTCCTCGCCCGGGAAAGGTTGGGCGGCGGCGGCGGCGGCGGCGGCGACCCTCCGGCGGGCCTTCTCCGTGCGAGCTCCGGCCATGGCGGCTCTCAAGGTGAGTGCGCCCCGCGGAGCCAGCCCGGCCCCGTCGGAAAGGGGGCGCACGGGCGGCGCGGGCCAGCCGGCCCCTCCGGGCAGCAGCCCTCGCGGGGGAGCCGCCCACGCAGGGCCCGCCGGCCCCCGAACGCCTGCCCTGGACGCTCCCTGTGCCCGTCGTGGGGCCGGCCCTATAGCTGCGCGTTTCCCTGACCCGAGCTGTTGCAGGTTGCAGAAAAGAAGCCTCCCTCCCCATAGAGCCGCTTGGCCCTGGACTAGGCGTGGTTCAGTGGAAAGCTCCCCCCCCCATGCATGAAAGCAGCCCCACAGAAAGCGGGCTGGCCCGTGGCCCCGTAGAGCAGCCCCACAGAGGACAAGCTGCTCCCCGACCCCCCCCCCCAGAACACGCGCTCGGGGTAATGGAATCCCCCGTCGTGAAGGGGCAGCCCCACGGAAGAGCAGGCTCCTTGGGTCTGTTATGGGGCGCCAGGCCCTTGCAAAAGAGCACCCCAGTGCAGCTGCACAGCCCCCTCGCCCGGTCCTGTGCCCTCCAAGTGCGTTGCGCTGCCGCTTGGGTTGTCCCCGGGCCACTGTGTCGCCAGTGGTGAGTAGGTGCGGCGAGAAGTGCCCTTTGTGGCAAGAGACTGGACCTTGTGCGCAGCTCTGGAATATCAGCTCTGGGAGTGTGCGAGGGAAACCCCAGTCAGCAAGAGCAGCATCGCAGCCCTGAGGAAAAGGGGCACTTGGATGGGATGCAGGCCCTACATGTGTGTGCTAAAACCCTATGGAGCTCCCCCACCCTCCAAGAAAAAGCCATACAGTGGGTGGCTTATATCTTCTAAGCTCCATGTCTGCAAAAGGAGGTCCATGAGAGCTTAGACTTATAGAGACCAACCCTATAGAAAACCCCCTAGAAACAAATATTGAATAGGGTTATTTATTGAATGGGCTCTGCCAGAGGAACAAAAAGGGCAGGAAGACATTGCTTTAAAAGAACAGAAAAAACCTTGTGCCATAGAATAATACTTATTTTACTTGATGGAACTCCTATGGGGTAAAGACTATTAGAAAGTCAGGGGGTGGGGGTTCAGCACTTAGTCAAGTCCACGTTGGGTTTTTCCAATCAGACATCCTCCAGATGGCTTGGGCTATAATGCCTATCATCCTTAGCTGGATATACTGGGAGCTGTAGTCTAAAGACACTTGGGTGGGGCTGGCTTGCAACGCATCGGTCCCTCAGCCACATGCCTAGAGAAATTACCCTCTTTAAGTAGTATTTTTGGGGCCCTGTCAATTCCATATAGACACATGAATTCCCCAGGAGCATAGGACTATGCTGTAGTCACTCCACTTAACAACCTGTTTAAAACACATAATGGGGGCAAAACTAGTAGTCTAGTCATCCGTCTGGGCTATTGTGGGAGGAGAGTTTTGCTGGGCTATTGTGGGTGAGAACATCTGGATACGCAGGGTGTGTTGTTACAGGTAAGGCGGCATAGACTGCCCTTTTCTGTCCTTCCCATGCTTCCGTGTAGTCGGAACTGACCCAGGACAGGTTCTGGGAAGAAAGAGAACTTCTGTGCGTTTTTAACCTCCGCTGCTTTTCTTCCTGTTTAGGTTGGCGACAAGCTACCGAGCGTGGAGGTCTACGAGGGTGACCCAGGGAACAAGGTGAACGTGTCAAGCCTCTTCAAAGGCAAAAAGGGCATCTTGTTCGGGGTTCCAGGAGCATTTACACCTGGTTGTTCAAATGTGAGTTGAGACCCCGGGTATGTCTGTCCCTTTTTACACGTGACATCTTCATTGATGCAACGGCAGTGGCTGCCTCCCCGGTACTGGGCCAAGTTTAAGGTTTTGCTATTGGTGCATGAACCCTTAAATAGCTCGGCACCAGGATACTGGGAAGAGGGGCTTCTCTTTTTCCCACCCCCTGGTTACTGAGGTCTTCAGATGGGACTATCTTAGGCGCTCCACGGGTGGTTCACTGGGAGCAGAACCTTCAGCACATCGGCTCCTTCTCTGTGGAACTCCCTGCTTCTTGCTGTCAGGCACCAAGCTCATGTTTTCTTCTGACCACTGTTGAAGACACTTGTCCTCCCACAAGCCTAACCTTCCCTGACTGACCAAGCATGGCTTTATTGGCATACTTGAATTTTGAAGGTTTGAAGGGAAAATCCTATGGGACCTGTACTTCATCTGAAGTTCAAATTCCCCATTCCATAGACCAGCCAATTTTGGAGTGAGGAATTGAAGGATTTGTTCTACACTTTCTCTCAGTCGGTGCAGAAAGAACTGTGCTGGCTGACCACTGAAGTTGGGAAAGTGACTTTGGGGAGGAGGGGAAAGGAGCATTTTGGTGAGAAGGGAGGAGAGGTGTAAAAATACAAGATCTCCCGAGGCCTCTCCTGCCTTCTTCCCTCCATCTTTAAAATGCCGCAGTTGGATGAGGGGGAAAACAGCTGTCTAGTGAAAAATGAAGAAGAACAGGGCAACAGAAAAATTGAAATTGGCTGTTGCTCCATCCCTGGTGTGCGTAGGGCGATCATGAATCTCCCACGTTCAGGAGCTTGTGGACTAAAACAACTGGATTAGAGCTCTGTCCCAATACAGCATTTTTATTCGATTCATCACTTGAGAGTTTTATTGGACATAGAGCACGATATAAATAACTAGATCTCCTAAATAAAAAAATGTTCATGATTAAGTCTTGATTTCAAGAGCCTTTGAAAAGCCAGAACCTTTAAAAAAAACAAAACCTTGGAACTCAAAAATATGCTCGGGTAGCATTCTGGAAGTTTTCCTGGTGATGATGTTGAGGCAAAACGCAAACTGTTTCAACTTTCAGCCTGTGCCAGCCGGCATGGTGGGGCCTTGTAGACCTTTCTTTCTTTTAAACCTGTCTAGGTGTGTGCCATGATCTGTGCTTTCCCATCCTTTTTCAATACAGACCCACCTTCCAGGCTATGTGGAGAAGGCAGGTCAGCTCAAGGGTAAAGGCGTGGAGATAATCGCCTGCTTGGCTGTCAACGATGTCTTCGTCATGAACGCATGGGGAAAGGCTCATCAAGCCGAGGGAAAGGTAAGTAATGGGAAAAGGGGGAGTGTATTTTAAAAACTAATCCCAAAGCTCTCAGGTTTCTAGCCCTTATGGTTGTAGTACGTTCAGAGTGTGCAAATAGTGTCTGGTGAAGTCTTAGAGGTCTAGGAAGTGCGTGACTAAGACATTTGGCAGTTGGATGGGTGGGCCTTCAGTGACTTGGCACCTCACAACATTGCACAAGGGTTGTATTATTTCTCAACTTTCCTGAAGCACTGCACAAGGCCCACATGTGTGGTGTTGGTAGCCAGCCCCTTTGGCTCCCTTCCTTCTCTATCAAAGTGGAAAGCATCCGCATTCTGCAGAGGCACCCTTATCTTTAATGAAACTGTATTTTTGTAAAGATTTTCATCGTTGCCCACTTTGGGGATGATCTTGGCTGCTAGCAGGGAATAAATATAATGAATAAAGCTGGGTTGGGGAGCCTCCAACCCAGGAACAAAATACAACACTCTGGGGGTCCCAGACCAGTCCTAAAGGTTCCCAGGTGGTCACACCGCTTTTCCCAGACCCTGCTCCATTCCTCCCGATTGTCACTCATTTCTTGGCTTTTGTGTAGCCTTTCCTCCCAATCTAAAAGGTCGCAACACATCTACAAAGACTCAGTTCCCGGCAGTAAGTGCTTTAAGCTAAAAATTAGTATTTTTGCCCCCCCCCCCCCAACTCTGTCTACCACTCAAACACAGGCCCCAATGTCTCTGAAACTGAATTTGTTTCAAAGAGGTTCTGTATTCCTGAAATAAAAGATTTCACTTGCTGGCCTGATTTGATTGCTTCACCGTGTTACTTTTGAAAATCTTGTGGGTTGAGCAGAGGTGCCATTGTGATCACTGCTTGTGGCAAGGCTGTTCCTCTGCTCAGGGAAAAGGAACCAAAACAGGTTGCCTGTTTGCCTCCCCCCCCCACCCCCACCCCCACCGATAACTGGTATTAGCGCAACCTTGGCAGAATAGAAATCGGACACAGGCGAGTTCTGTGTAAAGCCAAGAAAGAGCAAAGATGGAAGCCCCTTCCATTCCGTTGAGCCTGTGTCTCCAGGTAGCCAGAGGCTCCTAATTAAGCAAACACCTTAATCCAAGGGTGGTGTGTTAATGAGCTGCAGGAGGGGAGGGAAACAGGTAGTGTTAGCAAGGCAGGAGGGAGTTGCTTTGGCGCTCGTGTGGCAGGACCAGGTAGATTTCTGCAGGTCCAAAGCGCTGAAGAACATGCTCTGTTAAGTGCGTAGCACATAGGTGAGATATTTCTTGCCCAAGCCGGTTACGCCGGGCGGGGTGGGTAGGGGAGATATTTAAAGTAATATGGTTTTGGATGGAAAGCTTTAACTCCCACCACCCCTCAGATTGCTCGCACAAAAATAGAAGTGTTGCGGCCACTTCCTCTTTTAGCGGTCCAGCCGTGGTGTCCAAGCTTCACGCTGCGAGGGACCAACATAAGGAAAGTAATTTTTCTCTCTCTCAGCACTCAAACCCAAAAGGAACTGATTGGTGGGAGGTTTGGGGCCAATGAATGGAAGTCCTTCGTCACACAGTGTATGGTTAAACTATGGAATTCGCTGCCTCAGGAAGTGGAGATGGCGGTCCATCTGGATGGCTTTAAAAGGGGATTGAGTATTTCATGGAGGAAGTGGCTCTCCTCCTCCATGAAATACTAGCCATGGGCTGGTTCCTTCACCTGGCGTAAATCGGCACTTAGGACTTGAATGATGGCAGTGAGGTTGGAGTGTGTCACCTCTCAGAAATGGGTATTTCCCAGTTGTGGTTCATGCATTCAAACAGCCGTAATAATCTCATTTTTCGCAGTGTTCTTTCAAGCAGCTCTTATCTAGGGCATAGCATTGGGGAAAGCAGGCGCAAGGCAATTTTCTCGGCTCTTTTTCCTAACTAGTATACACTGAGATAGGGACTGCAGGTGGCGCAGTGGGTTAATCCGCTGTGCTGCTGGGCTGGTAGATCGAAAGGTTGCCGGTTCGAATCTGCACAATGGGGGGAGTTCCTGTTGCTCCGTCCCAGCTCCTGCCAACCTTGCAGTTTGAAAGCATGCAAATGCAAGTAGGTGAAAAGGTACCACTTCGATGGGCAGGTAACAGCGTTCTGTGCACTTGATGTTAGTCATGCCGGCCACACGACCACGAAGACTCTGTGGACAAACGCTGGCTCCCTCGGCCAGGACACGGAGATGAGCACCGCCCCCGAGAGTCAGGCATGACTGGACGTAACGTCAAGGGGAAACCTTCACCTTTACCTTTCATACACTGAGATATGTGCGAGGCTCTGGAATAGCTCCAAGAAACTACCGTGGCTTCTGGGTGGAGGGCATTTCCACTCCATACCATAATAGCCTTCCTACCATTCTTCTGGTACAGCCCATGCGACACTCCTCCTCTCCTCCACAGGTGCGGATGCTGGCGGACCCCACAGGAGCGTTTGGCAAGGTACCGACTGCTTATAGGATGTCCTGGTGGGGTTTCCATCTTCCTTGGCTCCCCAAACTGCACATTTATGGCAGGGATGTGGGGAGGGGGGAACCTTTGTCTCTGGGACTGCCTTTTATGCATCCTCATATTAGACGATTCCGGACTATGAGAGTGGAGGAAAGGCCTGCCGGCTCTCTCGGCTCCGGTGGGACTGGCAAAGCAGGTGGAAATGCTCAGCCCCGTGGGCTTTGTTTTTCTGCACCAAATTATTTTTGCTGTCTCTTGCACCATCCCAGAGCCTTTTAAAAATTGTACCTGCCAAAGCGTGGCTTTTAAATATTAGTATGGTTTGGGTTACACGGAGCCATCCTTCTGCTCCTCTAGAAACCTTACAAGCCCTTCCTTTTTGTCTTTTCCTCGACAGGCTACAAACCTGTTGCTGGATAAGGAACCCCTTCGGGAGCTGTTTGGGAGCAACCGGTCCAAGCGGTACGGAGAATTGAGGTTGCATTTGGGGGAAGAGGGGCTTTCTGCCTGTGTGCTGGGGAAGGGGAAAGCCCAGCTGCCCACCTGTCAGGCTTTTGCCTCGTCTTCCTACCTGTCCTAAAATCTGGCAGTTCTTTCTGCGTTAGCTGCTGCTTTCCTTTATTGTGGGGAGCTTTTCCATGTGCTTTTAATTTATTTGCTTTCAAGACGGTTGAAATTAGGCTTTTGTTTTAGTCTCGGTCCTACTGATGTCAGCTGCTCTGAGCCAGACACAGATCAAATAAGTAAATAAGCTTTAAAAACCAACCGCATGCCGTTCTTTCTCTCATTTGCATAGCCTGCTTTTCCCGTTGTATTTGTAAAGTGTGCATGCAAGGTGGGGGATTCAGGGTCATGCAGTCCAGCCCCTTCTCAAAGCAGGAGTCTTGTATCTGCAGCATCTTTGACAGATGGCCATCCGTTCTCTGTTCTAACACAGAATTGGGGCTTTTGGGTTCCATTAAGGTCCCACTCCAATTACTCAGGGTTGGACTTACACAGGGTTCTTCATTGGGCAAAACACACTTTCCTGCACGCTTGCTTCTGTGTAACCTGATCTTGCAGCTAAGTAGATTTCTTCCTGGGCAGAAAGAGATGCTCCTTTACCCTTCCGTAGAATCTCTCGCTCACCTTGAGTTCCACGGCATTTTACAGGTTCTCCATGGTGGTGCAGGACAGCGTGGTGAAGGCCCTAAATGTGGAAGAGGACGGAACAGGCCTTACCTGCAGTCTGGCAAGCAATATTGTCTCTCAGCTCTAAGGTCTGGACACCTGAGTCCCACCTGGCTCCTGTGAGCAGATGCCCCTTGCAGCATCTAGGATTTGGCCTAAACTGGTGTGCTGGGAAGAGGGCAGGGTACCTTGTGTCATTGCGTTGAACCCTCTCTGTTGCTTCTGTTCTCTTGGGTATAACAGCCTGAAATAAAACACTGTTGGTTGTCCAGTTTGCTCTCGCTGTGTTTTCGCCTCTTCCCCAGCAGAGGGGACATGCTAAGAACCATGTCAAGGTATTTTCATGTTCGCTTTGTGCCTTGTAAACATTTTAGCCTGTGATGGATGGCTTTATTTGGTCCTGAACGTAATTAGGTTGTAGAGGTTTAAAGTTGATTGTTGGGGGGGGGGGCGTTTAACAACAAAAGCCTGTTGATTCAGAAGCAAATTCCACTGCAATAAGCAGAGATGACTCTTTGGTAAATGTGTACAGGATTGCCTAACTCTAAGACACGATCCTAAACATGTTTAGACAGAACAGAGTCCTAAGACTTTGAACCCAAGAACAATGTCCAAGTCCCCAAGTTCTCTCTAAGTCTGCCTGGGATTGTGCCTTTAGTCAGCTAACAACCTGCATTTCCTAAATCAGTTGTTTTTAAATGATCTAAAGTTTGCATATTACCAAAGCTTGGATAGGAGGTTCCTCTTCAAGAAGGAAGGAGTGGGTGAAGTTAAATTATGGGATGTAGTTGGACAGAAAAGTTGACTTTCATGTTTTCTCTTTGAGTCCTATTGGAGTGACAGAGTGAAACCAGAATTGGTTGAACAAATACACAAGTGTGTTTTCGTTGATTAATAATAGAAAGGTCAAGCCACTGGTCTGTGTAGCCTGCCAACCAGATTTCTCTAGGAGATGCAAAAGCAGTAGATAACACGTTCTGTTCCCCTTCAAGTTTGGCTCTGCATTTGGTATTCAATATCGTCGTCATTCTTCATGTGGCTTTCCATTCCTGTAACCCTGTGTAAAACCCGTCCTCTTCTGCTGACTTCTGTTTTCTTCATGAACTGATTCAAGCCTTCCTGACCTTGGTGGCCTTCCCTGTTTCTTGGACTCCAGTTCCCCTCGTCCCCAGCCAGCATGGCTGTTGGCCTACATACCTGGAGAGCAGTGGGTTGGGGAAGACTGGCTTGTTAGGATGTTACTGATGTTTATAATAATCCTTCTCAGGCGCTTACTGCTTCTCTGTTTCGGTTTCCTTCCTGTTCCTCTGTGAGCTCCAGCGTTATAGTTTGTAAGCTTCTCAGGGCTGGGACCTGCCCTCGGTGCTCACATACAGAAACTGTATGATGTTACGGTACTCAATGTGCTTCATTTATGTTATATTTTAGGACATGGTTCTATAAGTGCAGCTGTAAACCAGTGAATTTGGAGAGGGTGTGGAGGAGGAGGTGACCCCCATCTTTCATCTCTGCTGGGGTATTTTGGAGCGTGGAGGAAATTCATATCTTGGGCCTGTCACCTCTCCAAGGTCACTTTCCTAGCCTCAGAAGGAAACTGGGATGGATGTTCTTACCCAGGCTGGGAGGGTGATTGGAACTCTGAGCTCGGAGTGAGAATCAAAACTATCCAGTGACCCCTCAGACAGTATCTGGGGACTGTTGGGTTGATACCTCTGTCATCTGTATAAGAGTCCAGTAAAGAAGACCGATTAAGCTCCTTCCTCATAATGCACTTACGAAATCCAGTCGGATGGCAGTTTGCATAAGACGCCTCGTGATTTCACAGCAGAATTGAGTTCTGGAACCAGAACTGCAGGTCAGTGGTATATAAGCTAGCTGTTTAAAATGTGCAGCTCTAACAGTAAAATTCGATAGGACTGTGTCGTTCTAATTCGGAAGATCGAAAGGCCCGTGTGGTCGGCACCAGCTACCACTCTCGGGGCAATTTGGTTGGCATCTCTCTGCAAGCAGAGGTTGCATGAGGCCAAAACTCCCAGAAGCAGCTGCAGAAAGCAAAGCAGAATTGGCAAAGCACTTGGCAAACTCGTAGTGAGTCCTGAACAGGCTGGATAAAGCAGTAACAATAAAATATCACAGGTGAAGTCCTTTGGGCTAAGTAGGCAGGTTAGAAATGGGCAGAACCGATTAGGCCAGGCTTCTAACAGAACCCCGTCAGTAGTGCTGCGGAACATTTACTGATTATATTCCACTTTTTTCCTTCCAAGAAACAAGGTGGCGCCCGTCCTTCTCAGTCTTATCCTCACAACAAGAACCCCGGGAGTCGGACTGGCCCAAAATCACCTAGTGAGCTCTGAGGTTGAATGGGGACTCAAACCCAAATCTCCACAGTCCCAGTCCCACACACTTAACCACTCTGCCATGCACTGGTCATACAGGGGCTTCTTCAAGCCCAAGGCTTAAAATATTTTATTTGGGCTCGAAGGGGGCTGTTGCACAACCCCACACATTAACACGGCGCTGTAATGCCTCTCCAACTGTTGATTCTCTCTGCATCGTGCGCAGCCCTTGCTAGTGCAGATGGTACTTTGCATCGAAAGGGATACGAGGCAGGTGGCAACGTGGGAACTTGCCAGGGTACCGGGGACCCCAGTCCTAACGAGGAATCATGCTCGATGCGGGAGCAATGGGCAGAACCACACTGTTTATCTTTGGAAAGAAATTCCTGCCTGCTGCAGTTTCTCAGCCCTTAGCTGGTCAGTGTAGCCTTATTGAGCCAAACTTAATGGTCTAGAAGTCATAGATGCACTTAAAAAAAAAATTAAGCAGTGGCTAGGGGGCAAAGCCAGACTGGGACCATAAGGCAGGACTTCTGGGGGCCAAGCTCAAGGAATCAAGGTTCAATTTGGATGCCAGGAAGGACTTCCTGACAGGACCCCGAGGGTGTGGAATGGGCTTCCACGAGGGGTGGTTGAGGCCCCATCGGTGAGGGTCTTCAAAGATAGGCTGGACATGCTCATGGTGGGCATGTGAGCGGAGCCGGGGGTCAGACTAGATGACCCAGGAGACCCCTTCTAACTTGCTCTGTTTCTATGTTTCTAACTCCTGCACCACCATATATACAGTTTGCTAAGTGCCTCATATTAACAGTGTTGGGTTTTTTTTTTTTAATTCGTCGTACGGAAAAGCCTTCAAATAATGTATGAATGGGCATGATTACTCATGATTTTTCCGTCTCCCACAGGAACGAGAAGTTCAAAACAAAAGTACAAAGCAAATGCAAGCATCTTTTGCACTTTCCAGCCATTTTGAAACTAAAGATGAGCATGTGTATGTGTTTCCTAATATACTCTTTGCCTGATCTGAAACTGATCCTAAAAACTTGGCCAATAAGAGTGATTTTTTTAAAGCTCTGTGTCTTTCAAGAGAGTCAGCAAAAGGCGCCACGGCCTCAAAATTTCCGTCATACTTTTCTCCACTGATGTCCAAACATTTTACACCAGAGTGTTTAATTAAAAAGACTTGCATCAGAAACAGCCCTTTTGCATTCACATAATATCTAGAAAATTCAACTGCTTGCACGGCTAAGAAGTTACCGAATTGCGCCATCTCCCAGCCAGCTTTGCAATGGGTGTTTATTTGCAAATAGAGGCAAGGTGGGGGATTGCAGTAAATCCTCTCCTGCGTAGCAAATCCAGGCAGAGGTACGATCTTAAGGTTCATCCTGCTGGATGACCTTGGGTCCCTGTAGCCCCTAATTTGGCTGCCACAGGCTGCCCACAGAGAGGTTGTGCCCACGTGATTTTAAGTGCATCCCCCTCCGCTGCTTGAATTGCAGAATCTCAGTGCTAATGGGCATTGATTGCTTCCCCAACCCTCTTTCAGAGCCCTCTGATTTGGTGCTTTTGTGTACACATTTTCCTCGCATTATCTTGTTGTTCATTGGGAAGGAGGGCAGTTAATCCGACAGGCTAATGGGATCCATTTACAGCCGGGTGCATTTGTTGGGCCAGAAAGTGAAGGGTTTGGCGAAGGGGTAAGAATGGGGTGTGGGCAGGAATGAGTGCAAAGGGCCATCAGATGCAGCTGTTATGGGTCCTCTAAGGTTGGCACACGCACAACAGATACCACTGTGTTGTGTGTGAGGCGTGTTGCTGAGAGCCGTTGCTGTTTTTTCCCCTCTTCCCTCCCCATTCCCTTTTCCTTATGTGTTATGCTTTCTTAGATTATAAGCCGGGGTGAGGGACTGTTTTGTTTTACTGGTTATAGGTAAGGCACTCCAGTAAGCTCTTTGATTGCGTAGCAGTGTAGAAATACTTTAGCGACCTTCTCGCTACGTGATCTGTCCCCATGTGAAGAGCTTGCTTTTGGGATTCTGAGAAGGTCACAGAGTCATGAAAAAACGGTTTCTTTTACAGTCACGCAGCTCAGACTGCAAACTTGACAGCACCGTCTGAAGTGACAGTGGAGGCTTCTTTCCGCCCCCTGTTGCTCCATTACTAACACGCGTGTGGTTTCCTCGCTGCAGGCAAAGGGAAATTGCTACTCTCCATCTGTAAAACAGGCATGCGGTACCTAATTTGGGCTGGCACATTTAGCAACCTCTCCTGAGCTCTGGCAATTTTTCATCAAGGGCTTGTGTCGCTCTGGGGACTTCCTGTATGGTGGGAAATGAGAGATGAACAAGCCCCTTCTGCATCTCGGTTGTGGTGGCAAGGCTTCCTCCCTGCCCGCCCCCCTCCCGTCCCCGGATTGCGGAAGGAAATGTGAAGTTAAGTCATACCGGTGAAGTACGTAGGGCAGGATTAAAGGCACACCTAACCCCCGCAGGAGGTCTTCACGGGGGAGAAGGTGAGAGCTGAACTTCACGATGGATGCGGATGCCGCCGAGATGTTGGATGACTTTGTATCAGGGCCGCTGGTCACTTGGGTAAGCAACTTTTGGGGGTGATAAGGCGTCTTGGGGTGGGGGTGGGGACTCAAAGGGAGGGCTTCCTGCCCAAGGTTTGGAGTGGTGTTAAAGCTAGAGGTGTTGATGGGATTTTGGCTGAGACCTGTGCTTTGAATCTCTCTGAATGATCAAAAATACATTTATTTGAAGTTCATACGGTGCAGAAAATATGTGGATTGGAATAATCACTTGGATTTCCAGCCTGGTACAGCTACATGTTTTGGAAGGGTCTTTCCTACTGGAATCTGCCCAGGTTATGATAATTCGTCTTTGGGTCTGTCTTTGGAGAAACCCTTAGTTTTAGTATCCTTGCTCTGGATCCTGCTGTTATTACAAAGGCAGGGGAAAATTTATAAGTCTTTTAAAATTCTCTGCATTTTTAAATATTATATTCTTAACCTGACTTTCCATCTCCTCGGCTGCTGTGTTTGTTACCTTTGAATTATCATTGGCCTTGGAACTTAAAAGCAGGTTCAAAATAAATTATCAGCACAAGAAGCTGTTCCCCTAGGAAGAATGTCAGATCTGAAAGCATGATATAATCAATGCCTTTAAGGATTGTAGCAAGCCAGGATAACATGAGAGGGGGGTACATATTTTTTTTTTAAAAGTACAGCTGATTAATCACTCACTTAACTCCTGCTTCCTTTCTCCCCCCCCCCCCCCAGATGCAAACCTTGGAAAGTCTGATGAACTCAAGGTCTGATCAGCCCCATTTCTCCCAGGAGAAGAGACACGAATGCCCCAAAGAATATTTCCTCGGACTGATCAGTGGGGACTTCCTCATCCATACCATGGAAATTATGTGAGCAGTTGTTTTGCCTATCCTTCTTCTACACCAGAGTTTTAACTCCCAGTAGCTTCTGCCAGCATGACCCTACCCAGGAATCCCAAATGAACTGCAATCCAGTTCTGCCCCCTAAACAACTATCTATTGGTTTTTCCTGCTTTTAACTCTCTTGGCTTCTCCAAAGACTTACAGAAGATGTGATAATTCATTAAGTGGCAAAGGATGGCCATTTTTTCCCCTTCATCAAGCCACAAATCCTTGAGGATTAAAGAAGGGCTCTTACTGGGCTTCAGAGGGCTAGATATTGTATAGGAAGGACAGAGGTGAATTCTGGGCAAAGGGCATTAAAGAAACCCTGTTTTATCTATTTGTTAGATGCCTGTTTGGAACAGAAATGAAAGTGCAGGGGAAAGTCAGCATGGCATGGAGCTTAGAGTCCTCGCTTAGCCAGTGTCTGACTCAGCCTGTCCTACCTCACAGGGCTGTTGTGAGGATTAAAATGGAGAGGAGGCGGATCATGGCTGCAGCTTCTTGGGGGGAAAGGCAGGAAAGAGATGTGGCAACCAAAAATGCACTAATGAGATTCCCTCTTTAATGTTTCTAACATATGCACAAAAAGTGCCGTTAATTGCCAGTTGTGTTGAATGACAACTCCCAGATCCCCTGGACAGCCACAGTATGGAGGGTGCTAAGCCTGGTGGCCAGGAAGGAATCCACTAAAAAACGAAAAATTCCAACCAGGACATCAGAACAGCCCAGACTGAAAAGTTTGGCCAGTGTCAGCATTTATAGAGTTGGGTGAGACCCTATTGGTTCCTCAGGTCACCTGATACGGGTTCAGAGCTGTAGTTCCCCCTCTGGCAACTGGGGGACAAGGGTGCACTAGGCTTGTGTGGATCAGGCTGGTTTGAGGACCCCCTTCTTTCCAGAAGGCAGGGAGGGAGGCAACGGATGGCAGCCCAGCGCCAAAGCCCCTGAACTGAGCAAGCATCATGCCTTACTGAAAGATTTTCCCTACTTGCAAACCTGGGTCAGAGGTCCTTCTGTGGGAGCCCTCCTTGAAGGAGATTAAGAGGGTGACTACCCGGAGGACGGCCTTGTCTGTGGTGGCACCCTGGTTATGGAATATGCTCCCCAGAGAGGTTTGCTTGGCACCGACACTGAATTCTTTTCAGCACCAGGCCAAAACCTTTTTATTTTCCCAGTATTTTAAGGTTTAGAGAGTGATTTTAATGGTGGTTTTATTGTACAGAATCGACGCTGTACTGTGCTTTGTAAAACCGTCCTGAGACTATTTGATAGAGGACAGTATAGAAAAGGTTTAAATGAATGAATGAATGAGATCACCCAATTCTTTATCTGTATTAACATATCACAAAATTCTGTCTGTATTTCTATAACCACCAATCTATAGATATATATCTGGAGAGTTAGAAATAAAGCTATCTGTTTTAAAGAGGTGTAAACATCGTGGCTTCCCCCTTGCCCAGGGAATCCTGGGAACAATCGTTTATCAAGGGTGCAGAAAATTACCTGTTAGAGAGCCCCCGCTTTCGTGCACACCCCTTGCCTACAGAATTATGGATCCTGGTCTTTCCTGCTGAGATGGAAACACTTCTGGGATCAGATTTTAGTGCAAATACACCCTGGCTAAACTTGGCACTCTTTGGGGCTTTTAACAATTGGGCTGCTCAGACATTCTCAGATACTGGGAAAGAGAGACGAATGTTTGGAATTGGAATTCCCTTGCCACTCATTCTCCCATGCACTCTGTTACCTTTTTGTAGAGACCAGATTCCCGGGGGAGGGCGACCTCCGTGGAATGAACAGACTGACGAGGCGCGCAGGTTGCAAATGCTCCAGACCCTCGTGCGGCGGCTACGTGGCTTTTACCAGGTGGGTTCCCTCCTGAACCTTTCATGTCACGAGCAATGGACCCAACTCATTCCTGGCAATCTTCCAGAGCAGAAGACTGGGAACCGATTAGGCCTTAGAAGCTTCCAGGTGTCATCACAATGCCTAATTAGATATTTATTTACTGTACTTAAAGAAATTGCACTTTTGCCATCTCTGAAAGCAGCTTAAAAAAAGAGAGTGAGAGAAGCTTTTTCTGGCAAGTGTGTAAGCTGAAAAGATCAGACGTGCAAGGAAAAGGGAGTGGCGAAGAAAGGAAATGGAGGGAGAGTTATTTATTTCAGGGCCACAGTAAGATGATGAGCGATAAGAGTCTGTTTAAATACGCTTAGGGCCAGCATGCTCTTTCTCTTGAATTTGCCTCGCTTGAATAGCAATCAATATCTTTTGTTCTTTTGGCTGTTGGATGGAGTGAGAGTGTCTGTGTGTGTGTCTCTCTCTTGAGTTCCACTTTACCTGAGTCCCCAGATGCCAACACATGACTTATCTCTTCCTTTCCCCCAGAATGATCTGCAGCAACTGATTCTTTCGCCCCCTCCTAACATACATCTTCTGGCTCGAGATCCCCTCACAGGTAGGCCCACCGGGAGAAGGGACAGACCGCTCCGAAGCTCAGGACCATGGGACCCCTTCCCAGTCACCTTGCCTGTTATGGTCCACCTCCTCCGAGCTGCTCCCTCGATATTTGGGCTCCCTCAACACTAGCAGGAAAGCACCTCACTGCAGTAGGACAACCTTTCAAGCCATCCTCTAGTTAAGGTTCTATTTAGGCCTGGGCCTAGCTCTGGAACCCAGGGCCCAAGGCTCAGCCCCAGAACCTGTGCCCTAATCTTAAAACGGGTCACCCGGAATGGAATGGTATCTTCCCGCCGTTGCTAGACTATGCTAGACCACCCCGACACACACACACACACACACACACACACACACACACACACACACACAAGTATTATTGCCAGCCTAGGCGACAACTTCCAAATGAATTCATATCTGGGTACCTGATGTTTTAGGCATTTTGCCGGCAGATTGGGTCAGCCAGAACTGTGTATCTTCTGTGAACAAATATTGAATAGCTGGGCTGCCAGAAATGTTGGGGCTGCCCTCAGTACGTTACTTATCTAAAGAAATCTGATGTGAGGGCCCTGCCCACAGTAAATAATGCAGCAGGGAGAGAGGTTGGCGAGGGTCATTTCCCATTTACTTGGGAAGCAAGAGCAGCATTTTAAACTTGGTTGAACCTGAGGGGGTTGGACCGGCAGGCTTCGAGAAGGCTTGGCGCATGGATTTGCTGTTCCTGTAACAGTCACAGCCACTCGCTGGGGAAGCTTTTCCTTCTGTGGGGATGGAGAAAGCTTCATCTGTTGAATTCCTGCCCGTACCTGCATTGGCCAAAGAAAAGTGGCAATTGGGGAAAGGCCCTGAGCGGAAGGGGAAGCTGTACTTTTGTTTATCTCCATGTCGTATTAACACTTGGCTCCCTGTTTCCACGTTGCTCTGATCCAGTACAGGCCATGACGGAGATGAGGAAGCTGGTCCTGCTCCTGCTGGGAAGTGCTGTCCAGGTACTTCGGGGCGGAGGGATCCTGGATTTCATGGCCGCCTCCTCCGAGTCACTGGCTAGCGTGATGTCAGATGCTCTCCAGAAGGCCGGTGGCCTTATTTTTGAGCTGGGGATTGGATGGGAAGAGAAGGCCTAATTGGAGAGTCTCACTAGCCTTAAACCCCATTCCCAGGGGAGCTCTTTGTAGCAGTTGTCTCTGGGCATGTGCAGAATGATTTTCTTTGGCCACTCGTTATTAGACTGGCCAAAGGCCACGACAAGTACATCAAACGTGCATAGACCACAAAATGAATGTTAAGAATATAACATGTAAATAAAAATATACCATGGACAGAAATTCACTTTTAACTTAACGATGAATCCCTGATACAGTGAAGTCCATCTTCCAATACCCCTCAGCTCTGATTAGGGATAAAAGCTTTTGATGCATGGGGGTCATGCCCTCCGACTATGGTTTGGTTTCAGACCATTGTTGAATTATCATCTTCATCATCATCAAGTCTTGTCTTTCCTCCAAGGAGCTCAAAGTAGCTTGCAGGGTTCTTCAGCCCTGAAGCCCTCATTTTATCAGTACAACAACCGGGGTGGTAATTTGGGCAGAGGCAGAGTGCTGGATCCAAGGTTATGGGCTTTGTGGCTGAGCAGGGGCTTGTACCCGGCTCCCCACAGGCCCTGTGCAACATTCAAATCCAGCCCTTTAAGGTTCCCCTGATGGTGCTGGCCTTCCCCTTTCCCCCAGGCATCCTTCTGTTTTTGGTGGCTTCCCCAAAATTGTGCAGATCGTTTCCTAGTCTAAAGGGTTGAAATACCCCTGCTTAGTTGTTGGTAGTATGTGCTTTAAGGCCAAAATATCTGGCCCCTTTGGCCCCTCTCCTTCTGCCTTTGGAGCCACCTGGCCTTGGAATGACTGCAGCCCTCAAGATCTTCCCAGAAGTGGATTTTGGTTCTTGGGCTGAAGGGTCACCGCTCTCCCACCTGCAGAGAAGCCTGATCCTCATTCTTGTAACCTCCCAACAGTGTGAACGGCGAGATGAGATAATCGGCCTTATTCAGACGCTGGACATCCACACCCAGGCCGCCTTGGCTTCCGCTATCCAAGAGGTATCAGTGGCTTTCTTCCTAGAGTGCAGCTTCCCCCCCCCCCCCCCCCCGGCCTTCACAGGTCAAGCTTCCTCCAATGAAACAGAGCAGTTTCACGAGCAAAGTAAAAGGAATTCTGGGATGCAGGGGCCTGGGGAAGCCAACCCCATCCTCGACATAACTACCCTTTGAAAATGTTGGTTTCTAAGGTTGCTTTTGGATGAGGCTTTTCAGTGTGTGATGCCGGTTCTAGACATCCTTGAAATCCACTTGAAATTAATCTTCTGTGTTTACCTGCCGCTTCATGAAATACCTGATAAAGGGCAGACTGGGAGTGTCACCTTGTTGCAGAAGCAGATGGCAGGTGGGGGAAAGAAACGTCCCCGGAGGAGGCGGGTGAAGTGCGGACACTGCTCTGCCACTTTCCCCCACCGGCCTCGAATTTCCCTTTGCAGAATCGTTTCATACTCGGCATGACAACGTCTCTCGGCTCCTCCCCAAGGTTTTGCCCGCTCTTCCTTTGTTTTCTCAATCTTTCATTTACCAGAAGGGGAAACCCCCCCCCCCCAAAGTATTTCATGTTACCTTAAGAAAGCATTCCATGTTGCCTCACATTCTCCCTGCAGCTTTTTCCACCATGCTCGCATTGATTATTCCTGAACTGGTTTCTTTCCTGGCTGCCAGTGGTGCAAGGAATCCACTGGAGACAGAAAGTCCAATACGAGTCTCCTAGCCTTAGGTTGCATGGCTGCTGCTTCTCCTAAAACAGCTGGTATCAGCTAGGAGGGGATTCTTCCAGAGCTGGCGTCGACGGTCAGTGTGGTCGGAAGCCTGGCAAGGCCCTGCATCCCAGACAGAGCCCGCTGCCAAGAGCCCCGGGACCTGTTCCTTCTCATCCCCACCGTCACCAGCTTCTCTGCCTGCCGCTCCCTCTGGCCCAGACAAAGGCAGTGGCGAAACAAGGCCCTTTGGAGCTCGAGCTGGCGCTGGGTACTTTCCCTGCCAAGCAAATGTCATCTCAAGGCTCCAGCATTCCAATTCCGCTGATTATCACCCTCCACCCTAGTTGATGCAATGTGCATTTTAAAAAAAAGCGCTGGGGCTCATGGGTGGAACTCTGGGCCTTTTTGTTAGCTGGGTCTTTGACATCACTGGCCACACCCCATCAGGGGCTTTTCTGTCCCCTGCGGAGGAATCCAGAGAACAGCTGGGTGGAACAGGATGTTCCCAGCTGCCATTTATGCTGCAAGTGACTCTTCTTGGAATGCAAAGTATGGGGCTTAGTCCTGAATGTGAAATGAAGAAGCATTTTCTTTACAGAGGACATATATAATGCAGAGGGAGGGAGGGAGGGAGGGAGGGATGGACCAGCTCAAACCAGGAGAGGGATTTCTAAGGCTTGCAGTTTGCTCTGTTTCCCAGGTGACCCAGGAGCCTGAGAACATGCTGAGGACGCACTGGAAGGAACTAGGCCCTGCTGAGATGGAGCAGCTCCTCCGGGACGTGATGTCCCGGATTTGCAAGCTGGCGCACGAGCGAGATGCTGGCTTGGAGGTGAAGAATACAAAAGCCGCTGTTCTCTCCGACCCGGTGTATTTGCCAAGCGTTGACGCTTTTTTTCCAGTGTAGAACAGCCTGCCCAGGCTTTTCCTGGGACTGCCCTCCTATAACCAAGTACCTCCCAGATGCTTTTGCTGCAGCTCTCATGCTGCCTGGGGATGATGGCCATTGCAGTCCCGTGCACCTGGGAAAGGCTGTCCGGGATCTGTCCCTTCGAAGCCCCATGGCCAGCTTAAAGACAGTTTATACTGGTTGCAGGGTGAAGAAAGGAGGACAGGATAAAAAAGAGCCACATATAAATGCCAGTGGTTTGGTGGGTTTAAACAGAGCGATTCACAAAAATCCTTTTCATCACATTATTATTATTATTTTTTTGCCAGTCATTCCATCCGTTTGTGCTCATTAGCCGTCGAATTAGTTTCCCCATCGAACATTTCGGGAAATGGGTGCAGTTGCACTGAATGGGGCATGTCCCCTACAGAATCCCTCCACCCTGCTCCCTGTTCCTGCTTTTGAATCCGCACTGCTCACTTTTTCTCTGTCACCCCTGCACAGAAATTGTGGGAGCTGCAGCAAGCCAGGGAAATGGATCTCGTTCCCCCACCAGAGAACAGCCGCCCGCATTTTGGAGTGCAGCTGGCCGAAACCCGGGCCCAGGTGCGGCGTCTGCAGCAAGAGCTGTGAGTGGGGGTGGGGCAGGCCCCTCTGAGCAGGAGTGACGTGCGGGTGGATGAGTCGGTGGGGCATAAAAGCGGGGCTCGGGGACTCCAAAGGAGACAGGCGTCTGGGACTGAGCCGCTCGCGGTTCTGTGACTTCCCATAAGTGTTTACCAAAATGTCGGGGCTGATCCAGTGCATTCTGGCACAGGACCTTCTACCCTCCTGGAAGGGTGGCTTGGGGGGCAGGGTGGCTTGGGGGGCACCGGGCAGATGGCGTCATCTGCAGCTTCCCTTCTCAAAACCTGGCTTGCCCCTTGCAGCATCTTGCTGCCTGAAGCGTCTCGGGCGATGGGGCAGCATAGAAATGAAGTTAGTTAATAAACTCTCCTGCTCTGCCTGACGGCGGTGCTGGCCCTGCTGAACGCGTATCTGATGGAGATCACCTCAAAATTCCCTACAACAAAGTGTGGTTGATTGCTCTCGTGGTTCATTGTTAGGGCCACACATTAATTGCCAAACTCAGACTCCTCCACATCGTGACTTCAGGGTCTCGAGAAAGTGTGCTCATGCATGATAATTCCTGCTTGGCTCCTCCAGTAAGAAACAATTATAATTAATAATAAATAAATAAGCGAGAGCAGCTAAAGCAGCCGCCTTCCACCTGAGTGCCTTCCGGATGCTTTGTGCTCTTTTTTAATTATTATTTCCTTAATGTAAACTGAATACAAGAAGAAAAGTATATGTAAAATAAAGTAAAATAGAATAAAGTTGCCAAGGGATTCAAAACAAATGCAATCAATACATTCAACCCCACAAATTCATCTTTCTGCCATCCAGCACTCTATGGGAGCTCGGAAAAGAAGCAGCTATTCTTCTGTGCTCCAGCAAATTTTCCAGTTGCTTTAAGTCAGTTACTTAAAGCAACTACCTCAACTACTTTTTAAAAACTCCCTTTTTCACCCCGTTAATTGTACTGGGTATAATAGAATTTCCATTTGTCATTACATTCTTCAGCTGCTGTTCTGTTCACATACAGATGCTTTGGATGAGCACCCCTCGCATGCCTGTCCGTTGCAGAGCTGCCTGGGGTGATGAAAATTCAAAACCTCTAGAAGTCCTCTTTATGTTTCCACATAGTTGTCTGCCTGTTCTTATTCCCCAGCCTGGAACAGCGTGAAGGCTAAAACCGGCCGTCCCCACCTTTTTGAATGCATTTTTTCCTAATGTGGCGATGTTTTCTGATGGTTTTAAATCCTTCTTGCAAGCCCCCTTAAACAGCTCTTATTCTTCAGAGATGTAAAATGCTTTTCATGGAGCTGATCAATACATCTCTCTTGATGCCGCAGGGAAGAGAAGTTGGAGGAACTGCTAGATCAGCAGGATGAGCTGAAAGATCTGGAAGGACAACTTCAAAAACTGCGGCAAGAGGTACTGGAGAGAACTTTTAGGCTCATGCTGGCCCAGTGCGTATGTTTGCGAATGGTCCCCTAACCATTTATACACAGATGGGGTACCGATGCATGTCTGCAGCACAGTAGCACCAGTTACCCTTGTGTGTAACCCAGGTCATCGTTGCCGTGGGAAAACAGACTTTCCCAGTAGCAGCCGCTACAGTTCCAGAATGAGCAAAAGAGTCACATTTAACCACCCCCCGCAAAAAGCCCCCTTGCTTGTGCCGTCACGATGAATCCTGTGTGCATCAGTTGAAAATCGTTGTTGTTGTTAATATTACTTCTGATATTTTTATTATTTTTATATTTATAAGGCCACTTAATCACCCGCTCTCTAAGTGGCATGCAGCCATAAGATATACCACTTCCCATAGCAAAAAGTCTGTCCACAGAACCAGAAATTAAATACCAGGCTTAATACGAAAACTCCATTCAAATATTTTACAATATTTAAGATCAAAGCAAAAGGCACAATACTGGTGAAGCAAACCGGGCAGCAGGCATCATTTTTGCTTGTGTTGTATTTTATTCTATATGTGCATTTTAGCTGATCATTTTTATATGTGAACCATGTAGAGGTTTTATTATATTAACCGGGATGCAGGTAGTTTTTAATGTTATTCTGTTAAGTTTCCGCATAACAAAACAAAGCCAAAATAAATAATAATTCCTCCATTGTCTTAAGTGTTCTGCTGCTACAAAATCCCCCCAAAGTCTCTTATTTCTAATTCACCCTCAACCATCTTTTGCAGAACCGGGCTTTAGCCGGGGAGGCCCGCCTGGCCACCCTGTACCGCGATGAACTGGATGCCCTGCGGGAGAAGGCGCTCCGCACAGAACGGCTCCAGGCAGAGCTGGCGGCCTTGAGAGAACGGCTGCCCGGCCTGGAGCGCTGCCGTGCCCAGCTGAAGGTGAGATCGCGCACGGGTCCGTCCTCGGTCCCCAGGCGAGTAAAATGCGAATCTCTGTCCCTACCCTTTCATAGGCCCAGCCGTCTCGGATGCTGCTCCTGGTGGGCGGGGGTGCGGCGCTTCTGCTGCTCTGACTTCGCTTGGGCAAATGGATGCGTTTTTCCAGCCGCATTCTTGAAAAAATTACCCGGCCTTTCAAGTTGAAAGAGAAGGGACTACGTAAGACAGGGGTCTCAAACTCGCGGCCCGCAGGCCAATTGCCGGGACGAGTGGGGCACGGGGAAGGGGCCCTGCGGCCTTCCAAGCGCTGGCGGCACCCGGGCCGGCCTCTGGGAGCGATGCGGGATGAGCGGCCCACCACCACCGCGGTGGTGGAATACTTGATGCGGCCCAGCCTCACCCAGACTCTGCTTCCAGCAGTCCCCAGGTAAGTTGAGTTTGAGACCCCTGACGTAGGGCAAAGGGGAGGGTTTAGTGAGGAAAGAGATGAGAAAAAAGTCCCCAGGAGACCTCCACACCTGTGCACACCTGTACTACAAATTGTAAACCGATGTCAGTCTGGTTTAAAACTGTCGTGGTTGCTCCTGAGAATTGTGGGGATGCTGAAAGTGCTGTTGGAGGTGCTTAAACCCTATTAGATTCCCCACTACATGACCTTTTCCAGATGTCTGTGGGTAGGAGCCGTTTGGAGGCCTTGAAACTCTCGTGCTGCTTAACCTACCCCGCAGGGTTGTTGTGAAGATAAAATGGGGAGGAGAAGGAGAGGGCCTTAGAGGCCACACCTGTGTGGAGGCACAAATGAACATGAAATAAAATTAATAGGAATTCAGGAGAAGAATGCAGTTTAGGGTGGATGCGACCTTACAGACCCCGAAAGGGTTTCTGCGCTTTGAGGAATTACACAGAAGGGAGAATTTTACGATTTTTCCCACCACCACAGCTGTGCAAGGGGAAGAGTTGTGCCTAGCAGAGTTCTTGCTTCGTAATACGATTCTTAGAGACACGAGAACCTCTCAAAGCCTGTAGCGGGCAGCTCGATAAAGATGGGAGGCGGCGACACTTTCTTGGTGGTGTGAGGGAAGGCTTGCCCAGGTGCTTCGTACACACCTGCACCCCTCAGGTGGTCATCCGGGGCCCGCTCCTCCCCCAGAGCCTGCCCAGAGCCCCCATCTCGGGGCTGCCATTAAAATTTCCCACAATGCCCTGGAGCAATGCTCTGCTGGGGGCATTGGAGGGGCATGAAAATGGTGGCCCCCAAGCACCTGCTGGGAGCTGACTGGAGAGCCATCCGTGGCCCCAGTGACCAAGGAAGCTCCCCGGGGCAGAAGAGGTCACAGCCCAGCTCTGGAGATTCCCAGACCTGCCTTGAAATGTAGTTTTCCCTCGGCAGGAGGAGCGCGAGTTCTCCCAGGCCTTGCTGGAGACGAAAGCCATGCTGGAGGGGCAGCTGGAGTCGGCTCATGCGCGGGGGCAGCGCCTGAACCAGCTGGAGAAGGAGGCGCTGCATCTCCAGAGCCGCTTGAACCAGGCGCAGGAGGTGAGAGGCGGGGGCCCATGGCCTGGGTGGGCAAGAAGGGGCCGCCGCTGCCCCGCCAAATTCAGGGGCACTTGAGCAGGCCGTATTTATGCACTTATTTTAAGGGAAACCCTCTGCTTGGCGGTGGAACACTAAAAGGGCCGTGCTTGGCTTGCAGGAACAGCTCTGCCTGTTGTTCTCGGACTGTGTCCACGGGGAACGGATACTGGGGGTGAAAGTGGCCCCTGGACCACCCAGAATTGCCCACCTGTGCCTTACATAAAAACCCCGCAATTTGCACAACGCCTCTGTGTTTCAGTTCCCCAGCCCTTGAAAGATTTAAGAGTAGACAAAGAATGATCCCCTTTTGTACGAAGGTTCCCCCCCAGGGGAAAAAAAAATCCCCAGAATTCCAGTTCTAGGGGGAAATAAATAGGATTATTTATCAGTTGCTTTGGATCATTTTGCTCTAAGTCCAAAACCAAAGAGATTTAAAAACATATATTGTGAAAATCCTACCTCACAAAGCAGCAGCCATGCGGTTCTTCATGTGGGGAAGGGATTTAAGTGAGAAATCCTCTTTAAAAACGCAGCCAAATATAAAACAGGACAGAGAGAGCAGACAGACAGAGAGAAGGAAAAATGGCAGGACAGAACAAGAGGCGGCAGTGGTCACACCCTTGGAATTCCAGATAAAACCAATAAAGGAATTCTAACATAGCTGGTGATCTGGCTTGCCTGTAACATCAGCCCGGGCTCTGCAGAAACTGTTTCCAGGTAAATCCCCTGCCTTGCTTCTCTCCGCAAGCCAGAATTTAAAGTTTAGATGTCACGTTAATTGCGGTTCTTAACTCTGGACTGACGGGTCAGGGCACGAGTCTGTCTGTCTGTAGAGAGGCAGCTCCCGGTTTCCGCCATCCTGTGCGGCCCACCCAGGCCAGTCACATCCAGGCAGGGTTGCCCCCGAGGTCCTCCAAACTCCCTGCTTGCAGAGGTTTTCTGGGCACATGCAGAGTTCATAAAGAGAGGGTTGTTTGAGGAGGGAGATCATGTTTACATTCTGCTGAGATATTCTTCCAAAAAACGACAAGGAGCGGGAGCGCCCATTTTTATGGGAGCCTGTGAGCAGAGACTTGTTTTGCCAAGTTCCGCAATTCCATAGGTTCTTCATGCTCCCTGCTCTTCAGAAAAAAAAAAAAAGAGGTCTTTTTTCTGTGCTTCAGCTGCGATAGCAAGAAATTATGCAATTCAAGCTTTCTTAAAATGGAGGGGAGTTTTGAGGTCTGGACTGGATGGTCTTCTTGCCCCACTTCCAACTCTACTATTTTGTGAAATCTTCTTCTACTCGGGGTGCTTCCAGACAGAGGTCTCACAGAGAGAGCAATCACAAGGCCTTACACATCTGCTCTGCCTTTTTCTCCCCAGTTGCTATTCTGCATTAAGGCAAAGGGCTGGCGAAGCAGTGGGAGAAAACGGGAGGGTCACACGTGGAGAATTAAAATGCTGTTGCCCTGCTCTGAGGATGAGGTGGCGCGAAGGCCCCAACCAGCCTTGCCCGGAAGCACCCTCCATTTCTGTGAGGGAGAAAAGACGATAACCCCAAATCTACTCAGAGCCGGAAACTGAAGCCCAAGTTCTCTCTCCAGGAACGGGACCAGCTTCACCACCAGGCAGAGGAGCTTCTGCGAGAAAACGTGGCCCTGGAGAGGAAGCTGAGGCGAAGTTTCGGGGAGTCCCTCGACATACTCCGGACAGAGGAACTGGAGTGCGACTGGGCCCCCAGCGGTGAGTTTCCCCTGTCCGTTCCTCTCTTGGCCTGTTTTCAGGGCCAGACCAGAGAGCAAGGACTGAAATTCCACCCACAACTCCTGCTTTCGCCAGAACTTCCCGAGGTGCCCGATGCGTTGAGCTATGAGGCGCAGGAGGCGGGGCGGTTGGTGGCCTTGGAGCGGGAGAACCAGGAGCTGCGCCGGAAACTGCAGGAGGCACTGGAGAACCCCACCGAGACCAGGAGCGTGGATGCGGCGCTGAAGGCCACACTCCGTGATGGGGAGGTATGGGAGGAGCAGGCACTGGTGCCGGGCCGGCGGTTCGGTGCAGCAGCGGGAGCAAATTAGCCATGTCGGAGAAATCCGCAGCAGATGCGAACGAGCTGTATTTCTCTGGCCTGCAGAGTTCTGCAGTGGGCTGGCTTTTTCCATGCTGACCATGTTTCACTTTCTGAATTGTAAGCAAATGTCGTATTACATAATTAAGCACAGGAACACACAGTCCGAAATTGGCTGTTTCCCCGCGATGTGGGAGCTTGGGCAGATTAGTTGATTTTTGTAAATGTTTGGAAGTGCGCATTTGCATGGGTGAACAGTCCCAAAAGTTTGGGAATGGAACGGAGTTCAGTGTTGTCATATGCAGAGAGCAGAATGGAAAATGTCAGGAAGTCTACAAAATTATTATTTATTATTATTATTATTACTATTACTCTTGGCCTAAATTGGTAGCAATCGCTACTACAGATTTGATGTGTCCCTCGGTCTTATTGCAAAGCTCTTTGCAAGCAAGCAGTTCAGGTAAAAAGGACCTTTTAAAAGACGCTGGAGTTGAATGGCTGTCCTACTTTACAAGGGACAGTCCTCTCTTTAAAGACACCCTTTATTTGAAATCCAGTTAAAAACTGAAGAGCCCTAGAAGGGATTGGAGAATAGGGGGCTTGGCATCCGTCCGGCTGCTGTTAGCATCTGGACTGCAGACTGAGCAGGCAGAGCACCTGGCCACAGGTGGGACACCTTGCTGGGACACCTGGCCACAGCCCTCCCTCCTGTGGTGAGCTGTCCTGTGTTTTGGTGTAAACTATAGCAACTAAATTTGGCACCTGAAGATTGCGGACAAATCTGGGTCCTAATTTGTCTGCTGTTTTGGTAGCATGCGGCTTTTCTTTCATATCGGACCCCTAGTACAGAAGGAGGGAACAATTTCCAGGTGGGATGCTAACAAATCCTTTTCCTTTTGGTACCCTTCCAGCAAAGCCAGGTGGACCTGGAGGCGGGAGAGCAGGCCTCAGAGACTGGAGGAGGCCTGCCGGAAGCCCTGAAGCAGCCCGGAAGCAGCCAGGAAGAGCTGGCCTCAGGAACTGGGGAGAGGCAGGCCCTCGACCCAGCAGCCGAGGCCAAGGTGGCAGGACTGGAGGCGGCCCTGGCAGAGGCCTGGGCTCGGCTGGCGGAGGCCGAACAGCTCCGGGAGGCAGAGTCCCACCGAGCATCGGGCCTTGAGGACAGGCTGCGGGGCCTGGAGCGGGCGCAGGCCGAGGCTCGGCAGAAGCAGGCGCACGAGCAAGAGCAGTGGCGCGGGGAGGCCGAGCGCCTGGCGGACGAGGTCCTGGCTTTGGAGCGCGAGCGGGAGGCCCTGAGGGCTGGGTCCCAGGCCTTGCAGGCTGCGGCAACCCAGGCCGAGCTGGAGCTGGGGGAGGCCCGGCAGAGGCTGCAAAGCGAACAGCTGCACGCGGCCCAGCTGGCCCAGGAGGCCCAGCGGGCCGCGGAGGACTTGGGAGAGGCCCGGCGGGAGAGCGAGGCCCTGCAGCGCAGCCTGGAGCAGCACAAGGCCGTCCTGGCCCGGCTGGAAGCGGAGAAGGGGGCCTTGGAGGAGTCGCTGGCCCAGGCCGAGGAGCGGCAGCGGCAGTCGGACAAGGAGAGCCGGCGCCTGAAGGCCCAGGCCCAGGCCCAGGCAGAGGCACTGGCGGATCAGGGCCTGTGCCTCGTCCAGCTGGAGGCCCAACTGCAGCAGCACCAGGGGGCTGAGCTAAGCAGCCTGCGGGAGGCTACGCAGCGCCTCGGGGCACGGGAACAGGAAGCCGCTGGCCGGGAAGAACTCCCCCTCACCAAGTGCGATGCTCCAGCCGTCCTGGAGGAGGTAACGCAACTGGGCTGCAGGTTGCCGAATGTTTGTAGCAGCCCCCGGAAGCTGCTCAGGTTGTGCGACCCCCCCGAGGCCCAATGCTGAGCCCCCTGCCTGAAAGATTCTCCCTGCGCAGAGTTCCCCGCCATGCTCCGGGGCGACAGAACGTCAGGGCACGGCAGGGAGTTAGAAGGGCGGCCCGTGCCAGGCTGTGTCTCGAAGGCCTTGAGGAACCGGTCCCTTCTCACTGCGTCCTCCACCCCCTGGCTCGTTCCTCACCCCGGATGCTGCTGGCTCGCCACTTCAGCAAGGAGCTGGAGGGCAAGGAGGTGCTCTGCCATGCCAATTCCTGGGCCTCAGCTAGGACCTGCCAGGGCTGGGGGAGCACAGAGGACACCTGGCTGAGAGCCCCCTTGGTCCTTGCTGGATTTGGGGTGCTTCAGGCACCCCACTCTCCTCCGGGCACACGGGAGGTCTTTGCGTGTCCGATGGCTCCCTCCAAATTCCCAGGAGGCCCTTTGGAACAGGGCGGTACGCAAGAAGGGAGCTTGGCGTACACCTGCGCTTACTGCCCCCCACCTGCAATGCCCAGCTTTTCCTGCCCTCGTTACCTGGCCATCTAATTTTTTAAATCATTTTTATCACTAGAGGGCATTGCAGGACGCAGACAGGCAGCGACCAAGGCAGAAAATAGGTTGGGATATGTAGGCAGAGCTGTTGATGGTTTTCCGTAGATCAGAAAGGATGCCCGTTTGCCAGTCGTTTACTAAGTATAATTGAAAAATTGTATTGCTTATCTTGCAGCCTTGGCATTCCTCTCCTGTAAAATGGGAGCGTTGGTGGGTTGCCTTTGGTCAGCTCTTTGTGCAGCTTCGTTGGCCGCGGTGGCAGTTTTGTGTTAGGATCTCTGATCTGTAGTAGCTCAGAAGGAGCTCTGAACTCGTTTCTACTGTTTATGGCTCATTGCACTGTCCTCTGCTCTCTTTTTTGCCCCAAGGTCTGTTTAGTAGCCCTCAGGGATCTAGTAAGAAACAAAACAAAATAGATCTTGCAAGAATGTAGTCTGCCCACCTCTATTATAAAATAAAGCCGGGTTCAGTGGCAGGCTGATCGTTTTTGAAGTTTATCTTCACTCGGCATCTATAGTGGTCCCTCTAACAATAACTAATTGTTTTGATTTGTTAAAATATATTAGTCTAATTATTGTGTGGCTGACTTTGCAAAGACTTGTTTTCTGTTGCTCTCCCAGAGGGCTGGAGTCGATTGAATGGGCTGCACAGTGCGATCCTAAGCATATTTGGACAGAAAAGAAGCCTACAGACACAGAATTTTTTCTGTCTAAGGATGCATGGGATTGCATAACCCTAAATGATAGAATACGGTGGGGAAACGTCTTGGCAGTAAGAACAGTGTGACTGTAGTCAGGGAGCTGCTACAGCCAAGGGGGGATTGTGCAATGGAGGGCAATGATTTGCCCGGGCAACCTTGCGTAAAGCGCTCCATCTTTCAAAGAGTTGCTTCTCCCAAGGCCTTGGGGCTTCTCTACCAAAAGCATTTATTGATTTATTGTGGCTTCAGGATTCCTTGTGGTCATTTGCGAATGCCGAACATGATCTTCCAGGGACTTTCTGGTGCTCTTCATGCTTTTCCACACTGTTGCTGGGGGCAGAAAGTGAGCTGATTTCTCTGTGTGAGACTGCTTTTTTTTTTTTTTTTTAAGCAAGGCTGCTGTTTTCAGATTCTTTGCAGGAATAAGATGGACTCCTCTCCATGCATTCTTTTTGGACAGGGTCTGTCTGTCTTTTTCCTTATGATGCCTGCTTGGAAACCGGGTTGATGTTGTAGAAGGCAAACTACCACAAGGAAAAGCTTGCAGATGCATCATAGAAAGACATTATATTGGTTTCATGCTAAAATGAACTGGGGCTATTTTCCCATCAACCATGCGGTTGTGCAATGGAATATACAGGAAAGTGGAGAAAGAAAACACCGTGAAAATGCATGTTTTAACGGAACCCACAAAGAATCTGCCAACAAAAGCCTCTGTAAGGTGGTGGATTAAAACTGTCATGTAGAGAAATCCGCAGTCAGGAGGCCCCAGACTCGGCAGCTGGGGTGACATGCCAAATTTTGAAATACGTGAGCTCATCCCAGGTACCATCTCAAGGTGCTTGGTATGGGAGAGGTGAGGGAACAGTGCATTGGAAAGGGGGGCAGACCCCTAAATACTTCCTTTACTTCCTTCCTCACAAGAGACCTAATTATTGCAGGAACTCCAGAAGGAAAAGGAGAAGGGGAAGGAGGGAGAAGCTGCTCTGGTTCAGGTGAAGGAGCAGCTACTGAAGAAGGAAAAGAGGGGAGAGGCGGACGTGGAAGACAGGAAGTCCAGGTAGGTATCAGCGACCAGTCAGGTGATTGCACTGACAGATTTGATTTGATTCAGGGCTCCTGCGTCTCCCAAGAAGAGTTGCATCAAAGAGTTGGCCCTGTTGATCGAGGGTTGCCCGGCAATTTTATATGGGCTGGTCCAGAATTTCATGCTTCCACAGCCAGCTCTCTAGAGCGAAGGATTCTAGCTGTTTTGTCCCCGCCACTTGTCCTAGACTTTTTGCAGCCGGAACTGGAAGTCCCCGCCAGTCTTCCGCCCGCAATCTCTCTGTCCCCTCCTTGCCCCACGAAATAGAACAAAACCCAGATTATTTTTAAAAATGCAACCGTTTGCTGCCCTTCCAACAACCAAGACCAGCTGCCTGAGGATGCCGCCCCATTCCGCCCAACGGCAGGGCCGTCCCTTGCTGGGCCTCACCTGGGTGCAATTCTGTCTCCAGGGAAGAAAAGCAAGAGGGGCTTTCGGTAGGGAAGGCGGTGCTGGAGGAGGAGCACAGCTCGCTCGGGAAGCAGCCCGAAGAACCGCAGGCTCTTCAGCGGCGGAGCACGAGCCCTCCGGTAAGAATCAGCAAAGATGCCCCTTCACCAAAGCCCCCCCCCCCGCCCCCCCCCCCCCCAGTAGAGACTGGCCATTACTAAGGGTTGTCCCCCTCTCCCAGTGCCCAGAGACTGGTTTTGGGGCAGGCTTAGGTCCTCGGGACCAGTAAACCCCCTGGAATTCATCCCGCCCCCTTTCAAAGCCATCCAAGATGGCGGCCACCATGACGGTCATAGAAAATTCTGTCTCTGACCTGCATGCAACATGCAAAACGCCTCTGTGTATCTCTTCTCCCCACTTGACGTCCGTGGGATCACCCCGGCTTCTAATAACTTCTCGCGCTCTGCTTTCCCCACACCATGCACAGTTTGATACACCCCCCATGCCCCCCCCCCCACCATGTCCTTTGTAAGCAAAACAGCCCCAGCCGTCGCGGTCTCTCCTTGCAAGGGAACAGTGATCTGCTCGGTCGATCTTTGCAGCCCCTTCTCCAGTGCTGCAGCATCGATCAGTGTCAGAGCTTGCCTTTTCCCCTACAAAGAACCCCAAGGCAGCATGCATAATCCCCATTCTGCCCGCCCCTCCCATTTTAACCCTCCCAACGACAGCCCTATGAGGTAGGCTAGGCTGAAAATCCGTGACTAGCTCAAAGCCACTCCCTGAGCGTCCCTGACTTTCTGAGGTGTAGAGACCAGAATCGTGCTCTAAGTGCCAAGTGTGGCCACACCATCGAGTTCAAGCGTTCAAGTGTTTAGATACTGGCCATTTTCCTTGGCACAGGCTGTGCGAGTGTGTAAAATCACAAGTGAAATTGCTTCAGTTTGGAGGCGTGCCCTGAGCAGGGGGTTGGACCTGATGACCTTACCAGCCCCTTCCAGCCCTACTGTTCTGCGGTGCACCATTCCTATGACCCTGCTCTCCACTAATGTCTCCTAAACTCCTCAGTCGGACTGCCGAAATCAAGGGCGGTCGCACCACGGAGAGCCAGTGTGGTGTCGTGGTGCAGAGCATGGGACTGGGATTCAGAGGATCCGGGTTCGAGTCCCCGCTCGGCCATGGAGCCCACTGGGTGGCTTTGGGCCAGTCACAGACTCTCAGCCCAACCTACCTCACAGGGTTGTTGTTGTGGGGATAAGATGGAGGAGGAGAATGATGTAAGCTGCCTTGAGCCCTTTGAGGAAAAGGGCAGGATATAAATCAAAAAATGCCGCCCCGAGGCTTCGGCGAATGGGGCGGCATAAAAATGTTTTAATAAATAATAATAAATAATAATAAAAATAAATAAAATAAAATAAAATAATAAAAAATAAACAAACAGGGGCAGATTTGTGTGTGAGGAATCAGTGTGAGAATGCCCCCAACTCCTGGGCCAGGCAGGCGCGCTCTGTGCAGATGAGGGTTCAGCCGTTCCACGCGCCCCTTGGGCGAAGAATACGGCACTGCAGTGACCAGGCACTCTCTAGAAATCTGCAGGTGATTTCTCCCCTCAGGCAAAGAGCGGCGGGGCGCTCCCGCTGCTTTTGGAAGCGCTCCCTGGGACCCAGAAAGAACTGAGCTCCAACCTCCGGGCGAATCCAGGGAGTGAGGCCCTGAGCACGCGGCTGATCGAAGTGGAACGCCAGGTGAGATCTGCGTGAAGCGTGCAGGGGGAGGAGGAGCTGAAGGGGGGGGGGTTCCTGCAATCCGGTTGGCATAAGAGCCCTGTTGGGCCAAGGCCCGCTTTCTACCCACCCCAGTCCCGATTTGCCAGTCCTGTTAGGTTCCCCTATAAAGCTTGGCCTTGAATCCTTTGGTAAGCGCAGCTTTCCTTAACTGTCAAATGGAATAAAGTAGTCATTCTGCCTTCTGACCATTTAATCCATTGGTACAAATGGATCGCTCAAAAAGTAGCACTAGAATAGCAGTCACTTCAGACCAGTTTAGCGCTGTTCAATTAACACCAGCGCAAGGGAAATTTTTTGATTTGTTTGGTGGCACGTTGAGATGCTCTTCTAGACTTATGAAGGGAGGTTACAAACCAAGTTGGGAGCGATGAGATTTTTGGCTCTAGGCCTGGTGCGGTGAAGCTGGTCCCTTTACAAATAAAAATTATGTGACCCGACCTTTTCTTGCTATTGATTTGGCCAGCCCTCCAAGCAGCACCCAAGGTCAGATTTGCTTCAAGTTTCCCACACAAGGGTTTCTGCAGACTCACTAGGCCACATTTCTGCTTTTTCCTCCTTAGCACGCTCTTTTGCTGAAAGAGAAAAGATGAAAGAAGTGAGAAAAATGCAGGGTGGTTGCAAATGCAAGATATTGCTGTAAAATTCCACAAATGAGGCAGGGTCATTGCGCAATAAAAAAAGTCACAAAGCATGCCTCTAGTTAATTGTGCCATTAATTCCGACTTGGCGGCGTCCTCCCAACTTCATCCGGGTCCCTCTGCCTTTGCAGAACGCCGTCCTGCAGGCCGAGAAATCGGCCCTGTCGGGGCGTGTGGGTCAACTGGAGTCTCAGCTCAGCAGCCTCCAGGGAGCCCTTCTGGGCCTGCAAGGCCGAAGCTCCGAGGCGAAGGAGGAGAACGGGCGGTGGCAGGCTCAGAACAGCGCCCTGCAGGTAAGCAGCGGTCGGCCTCCCGGTCTCCATCGGCAGCACCCCCACACCCTGACGCCACCTCCTCTTCCCCCAGGGCTGGCGGGTTCCTTGGAGGCCTGGCTGCCTCCCCAGGAATTCCTGGAGGAAAGATGTGTGTTCGACCGTGTCTCTCCAATGTAGGGACGTGTGTGTAAAACGAGAGGAAAGAGCCACAGCAGAGTTGGGGGGATTCCCAAGCTTTGCAGAAGTAGGCAAAATAGAGTTGTTTTTATATTTATATATTTATTTTGCCTACTTCTGCAAAGCTTGGGAATCCTCCCAACTCACTATATATATATACAGGGGGAGGGAAACAAAAGAACAGCCAAAGAGGAAGAAGCGGGATAATGGAACGTCTAGGGAACTGTGGGGGTGGAATAGAGTTCCTGAAAAAAAACAGGTCGCTGCAACATTTCATTGCAGTTCTCTCTCATCGGCCACACAGGCCGGGACTTTGGGGAGCTTCAGTCCAGCAGACCTGGAGGGTGCCTGTTTAGGGAAGCCTGGCTTGTTTCCCCGCAGCGAGACCACTTAGCCTTGTCATTCCTCCATCTCCTCTTTTTGTCCTTCTCCTCTCTTCTCCTCTCCCTCAGACATGAACGATGCTTCTGGTGTTCTACCATTCCTGTGCAAAGACAAGCCCAGGCTCCCGGGAAGCTTTACAGTCCACGTTCGTCTAACTCCACATTTTGTCCCCTCGCAGGTGGAGGCCGCATCCTTGCGTTCCCGGCAGGCCTTGCTGGAATCCCAGCTCTCGGAGCTGCGGCAGAGGCTGGTGCTCCTGGAGAGCGAAGCCCGGGGAGCCCAGCAGGAGCGGGAGCAGTGGCGGGGACGCCACGAGGCCCTCCTGCGAGACCACGACCGCCTGACAGTGCTGCACGAGCGGCAGGCAGCTGATCTGGAAGGGCTCATGGGCAAGCACACCAGCCTCAAGGCGTCCCTGCGCAGCCTGGAGCACGAGTACCGCGATCTGAAGGGCAGGTAACCTTGGAGAGGAGCATCGGGCAAGGATGGCTTGTGGGGAGGGAGTGTGGGGACGAAAGCAGAGCCCAGCTGGGCACGGTTGCCCCTTAGGGAACCCCAGTCATGAAGCGGGAGATTTTGAGTTACAGGTGCTCATTTTGCCACACCCAAGGAGTATCCAACCTTCCAGGCGAGCGTGTGGATGCACATCAAAGAATCGGTCCCGGGTGTTTTCCTCTCCATCGGCTCTTCCTTGCCCATTTGCGATCCCTCATAGCACTTTGCATTGCAGCAGGGGAGCAGTTTTCGCTCTGCTCCTGGGGGGATTGCAGCTGTGCTGAAGCAGAGCAGCCAGGCTAGGGCTGAGGAGGGGTGGCAGCAGTCCCCCCTCCCCTGAAAAAGTTCCAGTGGATCCTTCCCTATGAGCCCTTGGAAGAAACGTGCTTTTGACACTCGAACAGACGTTTTTTCCCATCCGTTCCAAGCAATTTAGTCCTGCTTTTTATTTTTTAAACAAAGAGCAGGTGACCTTCTTCAAGTCGGGGCTGCACTGGTGCTTCGGGAAGGTTTTGGGGGGCTGTATGAACAGTGGGGGCCAAAGCAAGGGGGCTGTACAGCCCCCTCCTGTCTCAGCGTACTTGTCCCTGCATGGAAACCTTCACAGACACCAAGACATACGCACAACTTCCCCAAGACACTCACAGTCGCATGCTGCGTACGCATCCATTCACACAAAAAGTCACGCGCCCAGCACCAAGCCTCTGCCAGCTCTCCTGGATCTGTGTGATGGGGATGCTGGGATTTGTAGCCCCAACACATCTGGAAGACACCAAGCTGGGGAAAATTAACACCAGAGCCATCCACCTATTGAAACAGCTCAGTCTCGTTTGGAAGCCGTTATTATGTAGAACCAGGAAGAGTCTGAATTGCCGAGAAATATAATCTCAGGTGCTTTGACTCTTGTGAGAGAACTTTGTGAAATGGTGCACCTGCCTCGGTCATACAGCTCCTGTCCCCTCTTACCCGTTCACCTACAGGCACGACCAGCTGTTGGGGGAGAAAACCGGCCTTGAGCAGCGGGAAGAGGCCCTGCGGGCCCAAAAGAAGAACCTGGGAGAGGCTGAACTGCAACATCGGCAGCTGGTGGAGCGGCACCACAACCTGGAGGAGGAGCATGAGCGGTAAGCGCGCCTGTAGGTGGTGGACGTTGTGGGTATCTGCCTGATCTGTCGATACGAGGCCAGGCCCTCAGTCGAGCCAAAGGGACGTACACAGCAAGGCAAGATGCAAAAGCACAGCTGTCACATCAGCAAAACTTAGAAATGATGGGAAAGTTCACCAGTCTGGACATGTGGGCAAGTTTTGCTCTCAGGCACAGGCAGCAGTGAAAAGGAAAGTGTTCTCCGCCTTCCTTAATCCCTGGACAGGAGGAGTAAGGGGCACATCAGGTGGAAGGGCGTTGTACAATTTTGGGGCCACCCCTAAGCAGGCCGTGGCTCTTGGATGGGCCAGCCTGGCCAGTTGTCACTGTGGGCGCTTGTGGAGGACTCCAGAAGCAGGACTGAATGAACAGGGCAGTTAGGCAGGGTGAACGCTCCTGTCCCTCTCCCCAGGGTGAAACAGAAGCTGGGGCAGATGGAAAGGGCGCGGGACGACCTGCAGGGAGAGCTTCAGGGAATGCGGAACCGAGTCACAGGTCTGCAGCTGGAGCAGGCGAGGCTGGAAGCGGAGAGCGCCACCCTGAAGGAGCAGAACCAACAGCTGGACATGGCGCTGGGGCGCCTGAGCACCCAGTGTGAAGTAAGGATTTTGTCCCACCCGCCCCCTGCTTTTCGCGTGATCGGCGGAGGAGGAGGTCAGACCCTTGTCAAATTCTGATCGCTCAAGCTGCGGGCCGGGGGAACGGATGCGCTCTGGGCATTGCACTGCATGCTTTTTAGACAGGGACCCTCTGCCTTCTCTGTGAAGTGCGATGTTTATTGATTTGCGTACATATGCAAATATCGTGTAATGGGCTCTCTTTTGAAAAAATAGGCTTGCATGTAGAAAACTAGAATATTGGCTCAATGTCCTCTGGCTAAGCCTTTGCCATGACATGCTAGTTTTCTACAAGCAGGGATATTTTTATTTTTATATTATTTCCTAGCAAAATGATTCCTCCTCCTCGCTTCCGTTGTGCCACCTTCACTCAGAGCACAGTCATCCTTCTGGTTTTTTCGTTCAATTCTGTAATACGGTTTTTGGCTCGAAACATAAACATCTGTATGTAAGGTTAAAATACATATTTAAGAAGTGCATTTTTGGTTAAAATGCATCCAAATTGCACATTTTAAGACAAGGCTTGTACAACAAAGCATATTTTAGGGTGAAATCCATGCCCCCCACCCCAGTCAGGAACAGAACAGACCTACGGATGGATGCATAAAAAAATGTTGCAGGCTGGAAATACAGATGCACCTAACCTTGGACCTAGAAATAGGGATTTGGGCCCTGGCGTCACCAGCATGCAGCTTGCGGGGCTGGCTTTTTCACCGCACCCCTGGCCTTCAGCCACTCATGGGACGCCCTTCCTTCGGTCTGCCACCTGCTAGCTTCTTGCCCAGCTGAAGGGGAACCAGGAGGAGGAGAACCGACACCTTTTTCAAGAGACTCAGGCGCTGAGCAGGGAAAACAGGCGCCTGCTGGAGCATAGCATGGAGAGTCGGGAGCAGTTCCAGGAGGAGCAACGCCAGTACCTGTGAGTGAGAGAGCCCGTTGCGCGCTGGGCCAGATTTCACCCTCTGCCTGTCTTAAATCTTCTTCTGAAGCTGTTCCCTGCCTAAAACCAAATTCAGGTCTCCAAAGCAGCTTGCAGTAAAACCACTGAAATGAACAGGAGCGCTTGCCAAGCTGGGATTCTGTCGTAAAAGAGCATGTCCTTCATACGAGGCATGCCCGTCTTGGAAGAGGCATTCCTTGTATGTATGAAGGGGAAAGGGGGAATGCCTCTTCTAATTGGCACTTTGCGTCTTTGATTTTCGTAGGCACCTGCATTAACAAGTACACTGGAATAATCCAGTCGCACATCTATTCAGGCCTTCTATTACCCCATGGCCCAGATGATCGCTCGTAATCATCTTTTCTTTTTGGATATTATCCAGGGCCTTTTGACAGCTCTGTTTTGTGCCAGTTACCCAGAATTCATGATGGACCTGCTTGTCGTTTTCTGTGTGTTCTTAACGCAATTGCCACTTTCCGTTGCTCTATATTTTTAAACTCTTGCATGCTTTATCAATAAATATGCGGCATTTACATTTCTGTATTGTTTTAAGAAAGGTGAGTTAGCCATTTTCCCAATACCCTTCCCCGAGAGTCCAGTTTAAAAAAAATTCAACTGTTTCCTGAAAATCCAGGACACTCTGATGTTCTGTGATCTGGAGCAGTTGAAACATCCTTGCCAAGGACAAGAATCTTGACTTTAAATCCTCTTTCTCCGTAGCGACAAACTGGGTGAGCTACGTCGGGAGAAGCAGAAACTGGTAGAGAAAATCATGGACCAGTACCGGGTACTGGAACCGTCACTTCCTCGTGGCAAGTAAGTCATGTCACATTGTCGTAATTTTCCAAAGTTTGGTCCCGAGGAGGCGGTCATCAGATGCCGTTGTTTGTTTGTTTGTTTGGAGTTTTTATATGCCGTCCCATTGCCCAACGCCTCGGGGCGGCTTACATAAATAAGCCTTTATGCCAATGGCCTAGCAAACGTTCTCCATTTAAAGTTTTGTCTGTAAAAGGCCAAGCCTTTTGATTTGCCTTGATGTTTTGAGACTGATGAAGGCGACTTCCATGTCCAGGCTTGTTCGGCTTATTTTTGTTAATGGTTTGTGAGACCCAAGGCTATTAGGCTTTTTATTATTTTGTTTTCGCCTATTTACAGGTAGATTTTGCACATAAGGGTCTTGTTGTTGTTAGTCACAAAGTCGTGTCCGACCAATCCCGACCCCATGGACAGCATTCCTCCAGGCCTTCTTGTCCTCCACCATCCCCTGGAGTCCACTCAAGCTCACGCCGACTGCTTCAGGGACCCCATCCAGCCACCTCATCCTCTGCCACCCCCTTCTTCTTTTGCCCTCTACTGTTCCCAGCATTAGGCTCTTCTCCAGGGAGTCCTTCCTTCTCATTAGGTGGCCAAAGTATTTGAGTTTCATCTTCACTATCTGGCCTTCCAAAGAGCAGCCAGGGCACTGTTCTGGGCATTTGTTGTTGTTAGTCGTGAAGTCATGTCCGACCCATCGCGACCCCATGGACAACACTCCTCCAGGCCTTCCTGTCCTCCACCATCCCCCGGAGTCCACTCAAGCTCTCGCCGACTGCTTCAGGGACCCCATCCAGCCACCTCATCCTCTGCCGTCCCCTCCTTCTTTTGCTACTAGCCCTCTGCTCTTCCCCAGTAGCACATTGGACACCTTCCGACCTGAGGGGCTCGTCTTCTGGCATCATATCTTTTATCCCTATGATTCTGTCCATGGGGTTTTCATGGCAAGGGTCCTGGAGTGGGTTGCCATTTCCTTCTCCAGTGGATCACCTTTCGCCCGAGCTCTCTGCTATGACCTGTCTGTCTTGGGTGGCCCTGCATGGCATCCCTCATAGCTTAATTGAGCTACACAAGCCCCTTCGCCACAGCAAGGCACTGATCCATGAAGGGGTTTTGTGCAGTACTGTTACCCAATTTTTTTTTACCCCTTAACTGTTGCATTGGGTGTTAATTTTATGCCTGCCTCCACAAATCCATTGATAGAGAGTAGATCCACTGAAATGAGTGGGAGACCAGTGGAAAGGGGACTGGGTAGGAAAAGCAAGGGAAACCACATATTTTGGCACCAGATTCTTAGTTTCAGAGATCAGTAGGTCACGGGGATAACGGAAGAGCTGCTGACTGCCTTCGATTCTCCTGCTGGGTCCAGTCTCCAACATCTCCAGAATACAGAAAAGACCAGGTACCAGCAGATGGGAAAGCTGCTTTTCTACATGAGAGGCCCACAGAACTTTCACTGCCAAAGGGGTCCATTCTGTGCAGCGTTTTATCTTGTTCGTTTGTTTTTGTATTTATAAGCATCTTGTTCGTTTGTTTTTGTATTTATAAGCCTCCAAGTAGTGCAAAAGACTCTCCAGGCAGTGTCCAGCAGTAAAAAAAAATACAAACATTCAGTAAAAACTCTAAAAACTGTCAATAAATTATGAATAACAGCAATAATATCAACTGTTCTAAAACATGTCCAGGTGAGATGGACTACCATTAATAGCTTGAAATCCTATTAAAATTGATAAGATCATCTTAAAAACAATTATTAAAACAGGTAAAGAAAAATGTTTTCTCCCAGTGCTGAAATGAAAGCAGAGTTGGCCCTGGGCAACCTACTCCATAGATGGGGCAGCCACCGAGAAGGCCCTTCAATTCACCGTCCCTCTCACCTCCCCAAGGGATGACTCACTCAGAAGGCTTCTTGCCAAGATCTTAATGGGCTGGCAGATAAGATTGTTCCTTCCCTTTCTCCTAAGTCTGTCTTTCTCCTAACTTTCACCCCACAGGAAAGGTAACTGGCTTTCTGAGAAGTTCAAGAAGCTAATGAAACCTCGTCGAGAGAGCCCACGGGAGCAGATTCGCCCCATGGCCGAAGGAGCTGGCAGCAGTGAAAGCCTGACAGGGCAAGAGGGACCCAGGACTGATGGGTCGAGTAAGTTCTCGTTAGCCCCCAACCAAGCCAGACCCTCATCATGTGCCCCCCCCCGCCCCATGTCACCCTTCAGGGCCACACCTGCCGAATCCAGCTGCAGCGCTTTGTGGCGCCCACTGGGGAGAAACAAGGCTTGTGGAGCACTGAAAGTGCCAAACATCGCTTTTTGCATGCGGAATTTGTCCCTTTTAGGGTTCTTTGCCACTGCATAATGCTAAAAGGGTCAAACTTGCCTTGCCAACAAGAAATATGTATCCCCTGTAGTGCGACAAGAGAGCTATGGAGTAGCTTGGTGCTGAATTTTGATGGTAAAGTGTTTATTCCCCAGCCTCTGCAGGTTAGAGCTTATTCTGCAAAATGGTATAGAATTGCAGCTGGCCCAATTTTGCTGTGGGGTAGGTGGGTGGGTGAGAGAGAGAGAGAGAGAGAGAGAATAAGGAAGGAATATGGCCTTGTAAGAAACCCATGGTAGCTTACATAGCTCCATTTAACCTCAGAACAACAACCCTGTGAGGTAGGTTAGGCTGTGAGTCACCCAGCAAGCATCTTGGTAAGTGGGAACTTTGGACCTGGATCTCCTGATTTCCAAGTCTAGCACACTAAGCACGCTGCACTGGCACTTCCCGGGAAACGGTTGGTTAATTTCTGAGTTTCTCCCAGGTTGTTAGTGTAAAGTGTGGCTTTGCATCATGTCTGCAAGGTTGCTAGGCTTCAGCGCTCTTTCTTGGAATGTATTAGTAGCACAGATGAAGCCCTGCTCATTGATTATTTAAAAAGACGGTTCTACTTTCTGTAGGAACGGCAGAGCCAGGAAGCGATTTCAGGCTCTGGAATTAGTGGCTTCGTGGGGGACTCATCTCAGGAGTCTTCCTAGCCAGCTCTGTCTTAATCCGGCCCGGTCCTTTCCCCCGCAGGCTCACCGGCCCCTCTCTGCAAAGCCAGCAGCACGGTCAGCCTGGCGGATGCCCAGCAAATGCACCTCCGACGCTGCAGGCTGAGCTCCCGCATGCCCGCCGTGGACTCCCCAGGGGACGGAGAGGGACAGGACACCCCCCGCCAGCGCTTCCGCCAGCGCCGGCTCGGCATGCTGGGGGGCTCCCAGGAAGAAGCCATCATCGCTGCGGCCGAGTGGGAGGTCCCCCGGCAGAGTTCGACCAGCAGCCAGGAAGAGAGAGGTGAGGCCGCCGTGGAGGTGATGTGCAGAACCTCAGGTGGGGCCCAGGCTGAATTTGGCCCTCCAAAGGGGTAGGAACAAAGTGAGTCAGAAGGGGCCTCCCGGGGTGACCTCTGGCCCCAGCCGGCTCCGCTCATGTAATCCCCAACATGTGGCTGTCCAGCCTTGAACTGACGGGGCCTCCACCGCCTCCCTTGGAAGCCCACTCCATGGCCTCTTCAGTTGGCCACACCCCTTGGCCCCGGACTTAACGTTTCCCCCACCACCCACTTCTGCTGCACCATTTTGAGGTGAAGTAGGGTAGAAATGAGAGACCTTGATTGGATTGTACCTGTAGAGACAGGGGTTTGGGTTTGGTTTTCCTGTGTTGTAAAGCAAATCCTTTTAGGAAACTCTGTGTTGCTGTTGGTGGGTTTTGCTCAGTCTGGGGAAGGGACAAGTTCTTCGGGCCAGGTAGCATCTCGCGGGTCCAAATGCTCAAAGCTTCAGCTTTCCACGTGCAAAAGGAGATGGGTAATGGCCGTGAGATTGCAAGGCTCCTCAAGAGGTTGTTGTTTCCTCATTCATTCATTCATTCATTCATTCATTCATTCATTCATTCATTCAAAACATTTTGTAGAAAATCCTGCTCTTGAGTCAAAAAGTCTCCCAGAATGGTCTACCCCATTGACTATTCCCAGTCAATGGCCCTACTGAAGGGGAATTCTGGGAGTTGTGGTCCAAAAGTCTCTGAAGGCCACCAGGTTGGGGAAGGCTGGCTTACAGAAAGCAATTCCTTCCAGTAGACTCACCATCTAAAAGGACCAACACACAAGGAAAAAAGGATGAGGAGGGAAGAGGAAAGGGCATGTAAAGCCAGTCCCACCATGATGGTACCTTAAGCCAGGAATATAGGAAGATGCTTTGTACCATGTCATTTCATTTCTTTGAATACATTTCTATACCGCCCAAAAGCCGAAGCTCTCTGGATGGCTTACAAAGATTAAAACCTTAAAAATACATTATAAAAACTGCATGCGTAACACATAAATACAGAGAGCCTCACATCTAATAACAGTTGCAAGCAACCAACAAGATTAAAGGCCTGATTAAAAATTGCATCTCATGCTGCCAAGTTTCTGAAGGAAGAAAAAGGTCTTGACCTGGTGCTGAAAAGGGTTACGAGAGACAAAGGAGCCTCCTCAGAGAGATTATTCCAACAGTTGAGGAGCCACCACCAAGAAGGCTCTTCACTCCCTCCTCACTGCATTCTGAGTCTTCCCCAGAGGAAGCATCCAGAGGAGGGCCTTAGGTTATGAACCTGGTGCACGGCGAGGTTCACGCCAGACCGTTTGTGGTCCCGGCCTGGTATTGTCTGCTCATAGTCTCAGCTGCTCTCTTCGGTACAGGCAGAGAACGGCCTTCCTCATCATCAGTTCCCTGATCTTTCACCTGGAGGGACCAGAGTCCAAACCTGGACCCTTCTGTGGGCAAAGCAGGCGTGTAGCCACTGACCATCAGCCTCTTCCCATCGCCGCTTCCCAGAACAGATTAGGAGACTACCAAGCACAGCCACACAGTTCCTTCCCCGCACAGCCCTGCTAAGATTTCAGATGTATTCTCAAATCCATTACATGCCTTGAAAAGGTCGGCACGAAGCAAGTCATATATTTCTGTGTCCGTGTGTCCATTTTCCAGGGCCGCCATTGGGCGAGGAAGAGCAAAGCCCAAAGCGCCAGCATTGATGGAGAGCAATGACCCCCCTTCCAGCTTCCCAGCCCAAACTCCTGGGAACCTTCCATGGCCAGGAAGTGCCCTTCCGTTCCCCCCGGTGCCCCCAGCAACAAATGCAGAGCACAGCATCTGGCGTGGAAGAACATCTGGGTGCTTGTGAACGCCACATGCTCTGTTGGATGGAGGGTAGCGACCCCCAGTGCATCCAGCAGGGGCCACACACTTGTGTGCGCAAAGGTGCCAGCGACCCGGTCATCCCGAGAAGGCTGCCTCCAAATGAGGTTCCATTTAGACATCCCGGCCGAGTCAGAGACTCCGTGCAAATTCTGCAGCTTGAATGCTTCCCAGTCTGGCAGCCGCCTCTTTGGTCCCCGGCTTGTTCTTCCCAAGGCCTGCCTGCTCCATTGAAACGGGACGAAAGGAGGACTTGGCGAGCGCTTTTCCAGGAGACCCAATCCCCACCATCGCTGGAGAAGACCGTCCTGCTAGGGAAAGTCGAAGCCATAAGAAGAGGAAGGCCAAACATGCGATGGATCAGTTCCATCAGAGAAACCACTGCTTTGCATTGGCGAGAGCTGAGCTGGCCAGATGTGCTTCTCGCTGCATTTGGCATTGCATGATTGAATCTTGTTCGGCCAGCACCCGGCGCAAGCCCCGCCTTGATTCAGGCCAGGGCTGTGGCGGAAAACGGATATAGGTCTTTGCTCCCACTACAGTTGTGAGCAGAATTATACACCCATAAATACACACACACCTCCACACAGTAATTTGCAACAGAAGGAACTCGTGTTTATCAGTTTTCCCCCATGTACCACCCCCTAAATGTATTTAACTACAACTCCCAGCATGCTGAGAGTTTCAATCCAACTCATCTGGAGGGTGGGAGGGTGGGAATGGCTAGAACAGAATCAGTGCTGAAGAGACCCAAAACGTGCAGTGATGTGGCAAAAACACTTCTTTAATAGCTGGGTTGCCAAATTCACCTGCCACCTACTTCTTATTAGGGAAGGTAGCTCAAGTCCCACGGTTGCTGCGGGGGATTGCTTTCCCAGCAACCTTTTATTTTCCCCCTGCCATAAAGTAAAGTATTTGGGGTTGGCATGGTTCTGAAGGGGCCGCAAAGGCCCCTTCGCTGCTCTTGTGATGAAACTGCCAGAGTGGGTTTGTCCAAAGGTCAAAACAACCGAGGGGTTTTTTCAGATTGTCTTCTATGATGGCAGCTTGACGAACACCTGTGCTTCCAGCAGCACCCTCCCTCTTTCGGAGACAGACTTTGCAAAGGAACCGTCGTCCTCACTTGCAGGTTAGTTCAGGCAGCGTCACTGTGGAGCAACGTATTTAAAATAAAGTGCATGACTATTTATCAATCGGGCTTTTGGGGTGGAACGCAAATGTGGTTGTAAAAAGTGGCTCATTGCATGTCTGGTGTATGGCACATTTCTGTGTTGGTGGGTACCCTCTTTCTAGAAACCCCATAGCTCAACTTTGACGCTCTCTTCCTGCTTTCAGTGATCTGTGTGGATGAAACCTGGCATATTGTCCCCCTAACAAACCAGGAGCAGGAAGCCATGATCAAACCCCAGTTTCAGACTTTGGTTGATAGGGGGAGCGACGAACTAGGAATCTGGGTTTAGACAGGAATCGTTCTGCATTCCTGCTGGTTCATTTAGCTGTTCCCACGGGTGAGAAACGCCAAGGAGCAGTGCTCCAACTAACATGGCCGTCTGCTTCTGCTTGCGCCCATGTTTGCTTTAAACAACACCCTTCATAGTTGTTTGCCGCTCTTCACATGTCTGCTCTGTATATCCTTGTGAGGAGGAAGGCCAGTGTCGCTTCCTTCGCACTGCACATGGTGGGGCGGGACACTGAGCCCGGTGGAACCACATTTCTGGGAAGGCCAGAATGGGGCTTGCTTAAGAGTGCCGTGCCACAGCTCCTGGGCAGAGCTCCTGATCTGCATGCAAAAGATCTCGGGCTCAGTTTTGAGTATAGGAGACGATCAGCCGTATTTCAACAAAACATGGTTCACTGGCTCCCCTCACTCCACCCCAGAGTGTGGCTTGTGTGTTGTCTGAATTTAGTCTCGAGTTCCGTTCTTGGTCCAACTTCTGCTTCCTACCTGTGTTGCCAGGGGGTTTTCTGCGACCTCTTCCGGCTCTCTCTCTTGCACAAGCCCTTTCTTCCTGTTTTGGGCACTGGTAATTGTCGTGTTTCCATGACAGTTCTGCTCTTCATTCCTACAGTCTCTGTGTGTTCTGGACAGGGCAGCTCCATAGTTTTTTTCTGGGTTAAAAAAAAATACTAGGAAGGTTCATCTCCTTCCCCTCTTGCACCTCACCAATTGCCTTAAGAAGTCAGTTTCACCATGGCCTGGAGCAACTCCAGTTCCTTGAAGTCCTTTGCAGAGCCCCAACAAAGCAAAGCACCACTAAAACTGTCCATCTTGCCCAGCCTTAAAAGGCAACAAATTCAGCTACAAGACCACTTGCAGGAAATTGACTGAACAGCGGATCTCTGGCAAAGCTTATCTCTGTTCAGGATCATTCATGAGCTGAGTTCTCCTGATCTCAGCTCTTCTCCAGTTTAATCATACATTAACCAATAACAACTTAGGAAACCCTCGATGTAATGATAACGGGCGCAACTCTTTTGCTGAGAGGCAGTGCGGTATAGTGGTTTGGATGCTGGAGCCGGACTCAGGATATCTGGGTTCAAGTCCCTGCTTAGACGGGCAGCTTTGGGCCAGTCACTGACCCTCAGCCTGGCCTACCTCACAGGGTTTCTATGAGGATAAAATGGAGAGGACGATGACTCAGCAAGCCAACTTGGCTTCCTTGCATGCAAAGGGTATAATAAATAAAGGGCAAAGTAATGGTAGAAAAGTGAGGAAATTAAGAGTGTCTTTAAGCAGAAATGAGGCCAATTGATTTCAGTGAAGATTATTTGTCTATAAAGCAGGTGCAAAATTGCAGCTTTCTCTTTCAAAATGGAACCCAGGGCATTTTTTATAGCATCCAATCAATGCAGCCCACATTTCAAGTGTAGAGATTTTCTGTTGCTAGTTTGCTTATCCTGTGGCCAGTGGATAGTTGAGGGAAATTGTGCCCTTTAGGGTTTCCAAAGGTTAAATTAAATTAACTCTTTAATTCATGCAATACAATCCAGGCTTGTTGTGCAGTATTGGATGGCTTCAGGAGACTCTTGTGCCTGAATCAAGCCACGTTCCTGACGTATGTGTATAGCAAGGGGATAAAGTTGATGCTGAACAATTAGGTTGTAGCCAGTGACTTTTTCCTGTGCCGCTTCTGCCGCAGGTTCACCTGAAAACAAGTGACTCTCAAGACACCTGTTGGCATAATTTTATAGCACCATTTTCCAAGGACGGCACAAAAATATTCTACCTCACTCAGAAAGGAAGTGGAAATATTCTACTTACTACCCTTGAGCTGGGGGCCTTCCAGAATTGTTGCATGACAGCTCTCCTAGCTATGAGCAGAAACTCTGGGAGGTGGTGTTCCAGCACCGTGGGATGCCACCAGATTAAGTCCAGCTGGCCCCAATCTAAAGTCTGCCAGTAAGGTCACGATCCTGCCTAAGACTGCCCGCATTCCCCAACTGGCCCTACTGAAACCGCCCTCCCCACTCTGGCAATCCACCTGGGAGGCCAACCTTGGTGCAGAAGATGCAGCCAAACCTCAACAGGTGGTGCCAGGCCTCTGCCACAGGGCCACGTACTCCAGGTCGCGTGGCTGCTGGCTCAGATTAAGGTTTCCCCGTGGTCCAGCTTTCTGGGCACCCAGGACGTGAGAGCATGTTCCCCAGCAACTGGGGTGCATGGGCATAATGCCTCGTGCTTTCCGATTCTGGCCCTGAATTGCCATGAGCGCCTGGTGGTGCAAGAGGACCCCCCCCCCCTTTTCTCTTGGGACGGGAGCTCCGCGAAAGGCTGGGTCCACACGCTCCCGTGGGGTGCCCGGCGCTGCACAGGGGCGAGGAAATGCGCGTCGCTTTGCTCTCCAAAGATGCAGCGTCGTCGGGATGGGCGGAGAGGCTCCCACAGGAAGTCTGTGTGTGTGTGGGGAGGGGGGGCAGGAATCCAGGCGAGGGGTGACAGGCCCCTTCGCGGGGGGCGTTAGCAGGAAGGGGGTCCCCTGTCCCTCCCCGGGGCGGGTCCCCTGGTTTTCCTTCGCCCTTTCTCCTCCTCCTCGCTCGCTGTCACATTCCTGCCGCTTGAGTCAGGCCTGGAGGCGGCGCGGCGGCGGGCAGCTCGCTGCACCAGGAAGCGCAGGGCCCGCACCATGTAACCGAGGCGGAGGGAGGACGAGCGAGGCGGCGAGGGCGAGCGAGCGAGGAGCGCGGCACGCCAGCTTGGCCATGGGGGACGGCGGCGCCGAGGAGGAGACGGTGCAGCTGCCCCTCACCGACGGTACCGGGCAACCCGGGGGGGCGCCGCGGCTGGCGTGCGGGCGCGCTGGGTGCGTCCCCTCGGCGCGCGCGGGGACCTTGGCGGCTCCGGGGGCGCCCCGCGGCCGGGCGGGCGGGCGGCGGCGGCTTTCCGGCGTGGTCGGGCGGGCGCCCGACCCTCCAGGCGGCGGCTGCGCGAATGACAAGATGACCCCCGGGGCGCAGC